AAATAATTGAACGAACAGAAAATTTGTTAATTTTATAACTTGGTCTTTGGTTAAATCGTAATTTATTGACTGACTCACGATAATTCATAATGAGAATCAATTATTGAACAACATAGTTAATGATTTGGCCTGAATACTATCGTTTAATACAAGTTGTTTGTAAGTACTATCCATAATGCATACATTTAATTTTAAGTATAACATATTATATATATTTTTTTTGCGGAAAAATACTTATATACAATTTTTTTACGATACATTAAATGCATATATGCTTTGTAGCAATGATTTTTTTTTTTTTTTTTTGAGACAAACTTAAAGTAATATATAACCACTTTGTGTCCTCATTTTTCGATTAAAAATTAAAAATTTACCATTTCTACTAAAATAAAAATAAAGTAATAATTTAGCATATATTTCATACATCATCCGTGATAATAAATATCATAAAGCTTACGATCGCGTGCTACATTATGTCCTGTTACCACAATAATGTTTTTGTTTAACAATACCTATACCTACGCGGCAACTTTCGTGTACAATAGCGAACCACAAAAACATGATAAATATAATTCTGACCTAGTGCAACACACTGTGATTTCCCTCTCCTTTGGGACAATACTGTTATTATTATACACAGGTTAGGTAATTTTGTGTTTTTTTTTTTTAATTTTGATTAGTTTTTCACCTTAGCGGTAGATCAATAAACTGGTGGGTACGTAGTTAATAAAATTTTCACACAATACGTACTCGCCTATAAAGTCCTTAATTATCAAAATATTTTCTTCGAAAGACATACATAAAAATATTAACTATCATTCACATTTATATATTTTTTCCACTCGATATTACTAATTATACCTAATTAATTAATTAATTTAATACATTTAAATTATTTATTATTAATTTATGAACAATAATGAAAAACTTAATACGAAAAGTAGTATAAACCTTTTATAAAATTATAAATGTTTTAAATATAATTATATATAATTCTCTAAAGTAAAATTATTTATAATAATAAACAAAAAACTTAAAATATATTTTATCAGAGCTTAATTCAGAGTTCACGTTATATAAATATGTAGAGTGAAAATATATCCATTTTAATACGTATTGAAGCTATAATAAGGATATTTTATTTAATTATTTTCAAGTAAGGTAGTAAATAAATTATTGATAAAAAAAATATAAATTATGGGATATGACCTGTAAAAATATACATTTTTTTCAACTAGTATAAACTAAACATTATAAATTCATCGTAAAATATACATATTTTAAAGGTTGACTTTTGAAAATAGAATTGACAAATTTTATAGCTGCAGCAAAAATATTATTGGTTTATAAGAATGATAAAAAAAATAAACAAGAAGTAATACGTCATAAAAGAATATCTCAAATGTGTAATACATTTTTAAAGTTTTATTGCTCAATTCATCTTATACTTTACATTAAGTAAACGATGAAGTTAGAGAACAGCAAATAATACATAATACAGTCAAACTTGGTTATCTAGAACTTTTTTAACTTGAAATCGTCGATACCTCAAACTTTTTCTCCGGTCCCTAGAATTTCCTATTTAAATAATGTGAAAAAATCTTGTTCAACTCGAATATTTCCATAGATAACTCGAATTTTTGAATTTTGTTAATATCATATAAAATTGTGATATTTCCCTCGTGTACCTATTTATATATTTTAATATTAAAAATAAGATCATTACTCATTAGTGTTATTTTTACCAATAAATAGTTTAGAACGATTCACTACTCATGCTGCGATCAATAGCAAAACTCAAACAAAAATAAATACCTTTTTTAAATAATTTTCTAACCTCATTTTTATTTATACATACATCACTTTTTTTAAATACATATATATATATATATGTATATATATATAATTCATATATAAATATAAGTAAATATCTTTTATTACGTTACTTTATTTATAATAAATATGTTGGAATTAATATATTTTGTACTGCACTAAAAATGTTTAATTTGGATAAGTTGAATATTTTTGGATAACTCTAACTTTTTTCCAGTCCCTTCAACTTCGAGTTAACCATGCTCAACTGTATTTCCTTATTGTAGTAATCAGATTCTATAAAAACGTTTGGCATGATATAAAAAAATTGTAATATTTAAAATTAAACCTCATAGTGCCTGCATTATGTATCTTAAGTAAATATTTACCATAAATTTGTTGAAAAATAAAAAAATTAATATTTTTTTAAATTATTTTAATATATAGTACTTGGTAATTTATGCAGATTTAAATTTGTATACTCGTATTGGTAGACAAGTTGTACCGCTCTGCTGTTCGATTGAGTCACTGAAATCGATGTATTAAATTTTAATTTCCAAAATTTGTTCTCATATAAAATTTACCTTCCAGCTTTTATTATTTACTGCCTACTCTTTACCTATACTATCGATACTCAATCTGCGACTCGCCAATTGTTTTTATATAACCTAAACAGACCTCATTGAATTAATACAAAAATATAAACTTCATGATTAATATTACAAGTACTAAAATATATAAAATATAGTAAAACAATCAAAATTTATATCGTACGCGATTGCGATAAGGATGATTATAATTTTAGTATAAAAAATAGATTAAGTATGGCTGCTCTAAACTTACGACTATAATTCAAAATTCAATTTAGCCAACTCCGTAAACTTATGTTGAGATAAAATAATATATATTTATCATTTTACGTCCATTCTTTTCAGATATTATGACCATAATGATATAAATATTTTAGTGTTGTTAAGTCCTAAGGTAGAACGTCAAACATGAAGCAATTATATCAATGTTTAACACAATTTATGTTGAAAACACTTTTAATTTATTAAAACAATAATTAGGAAGTATGTGACTTGCATAGTAAAATATATATAATAAATATCATATTATAATGACTGTTTATACTTAATATACGTACTACAGTAAAACGAAGTTGTTCGAAATCGAAACTGCCACTTTGTTTTTTTCTATTTCTCGCCATCAAAGATCGGTTTGCTAAAATACAAGAGACTTATTTAAATAGGTAACTTAACCTTCAAGAGTTGTCATCAACTGTGTATATGCTATTGTATCACCTTTAGTCTGCAACAATCATAACCACAGCTATCGCTGAGTGTGAATGAAACTGTTCCTTGCCATCACCTATGTATTAATATTTGTGTGTACCTATAAACGCTGGGATATTAAATTTACGACAGTAGTAACGGTGAGCATTCGGCACTTATTTAAGAGCCAAACTTATCTCAACAATTGCAAAATCAGTACCACCATCGTTGTACAGGTCAACCGATCCGTCAAAAACGTGTATGACAGGATACCGTCGATTGAAGCTCATCGTTTACCAAGGATAATCTTGAAATTACTGTAATCCGAATGTTTACAACGCACCTAATTTATACAATCCATAACACTCTTCACAACTGCGGACTGACATACATCTAGCAGAGTCTATGTCCTTATTCAACAAACAGAAATTATGGTCATTGAACGATAATCGATGCTGACCATCAAATACAAACAAAGCGTAATTTTCGAACGAGGAGCTAATACCTAAAGTTTAAATAGGCAAGTTAAAGATGGAAAACTGCGGGCTACGGGTAGCCTCTAAAGATAAAATACTAACATCGTACAAGGGTATTAAGTCGCAAAATTATAACACGGGCTTATGGGCATCAGTAAAACAAAAATACTACTATTGATCGAGGAAAAAATACAGAAACCAGTAAACAAATATAAAAACTTGGCATAGTAATTTTTATTTTTAGACAGGGAAAAAATTAACTTTTTAAATAAGATGCTTATGTTTCCATTGCAGGAAAACAAAAAAATCGACTTGAGTGATATGGATAAAATATGTAGAGTTTTGGGGAAAGTTGTTTTAAACCGTAGAAAATCCCTGTCATTAGGAAGTCAAATTTTGAGTACCTTAACGTCACCACATAATGCATATGAACAGTCGATAATTACCTATAGTAATATTTGCCCATCACTACAGTAGAGTGTATCTCTTTGAACAGCTCATACATCGACCCTCTCCTGTTGTCATATCTACCTATAATGGTACAGTGGTAATTAAATCTATCATATCCTAGTTCAATAAGTTATATTATAGTATCTAACTTAGTACGCGTATTAAAAATATTCACGAGATTTTACCTACATGGTGTTTTTGGCCGTGTTTTGGAATATTTCAATTAAAATTCGTTAAATTAAAATAATCATCATTTTATTGCTCTCAAAGAAATAAAAATTATCAAACATTTGTATTAATAATTAAACTTTTATAAAAATACATATTAGGTTATTAATTATATAAAATATTTTACTCTAAAAATAAATTATCTAATATCATTCGTTGTGAACAGTTTTGGCTTAAATGTTTTTTATAAATAAATAAAAAACATATGAATAAGACATAACGTCTAATCAGCAATGGAAAACACGATTTAAAAATAACCCATTATTGAGTTTTCATAAAATTAAATTGTGTATAAATGTCTCATTATACCATGCATACGATATTTTAAACTGTATTAAATAGGTAATGAAATTTGAACACTTCTATAGTACAGATATTAGATCGCATACAATTGAGAGTTGTATCTCATTTTAGTTTATCTCCTAATTAGAAGGTATCTAAGTTGGGTCAGATTTATATTTCATATTTTTGAAAAAATTGACAACATTCTAAAATCCCGGTCTATTAGACCATTCAGCGTGTGCTCTAGGGTTAAACAATTTCACTTTATGTTCACTTAATATTTTTATGTAATGGCATTTTTCTTTTTTTTACTTTAAGTCCAACGAACGTGAACCAAAAGTGATAACGTAGTTAGTATAAATTGAAAATATTTGTCAATCAATACAAATATCTTAAATTAAATGCATTGTTTTACAACTAATATTTAACGTTAATTTTAACCATTATGGTTTATAATTGTATTAATAATATTATAAAGTGTTTGTTACAGATGCCATAGAATGGAAAGAATATGGAGGCTGCTACAAGTGGCTTCCTTTCTCATACCGTTACTACAAAACGTATTATCAGATAACTCAGACGTGTAAGTAAAATCATAAAATATTTACTTGAATATCGTATTTAAGACTAAGACCGTAGACTCTACGAGTATATTTACTAAATAGTAAAAACGAATTAAGTTTTAGAAGTCATTTTAGCTTTATATCACATTTTATATTAAAATGTCTTTCTCAATATTCTTTTTACACTAAACTTTTTAAGCTTTTTTATTAACCTGAAAATTATTGGTGCGTAATTTTTTTTAAGTAAATTGTTTTTTTGTTAAAAAAATCTAAACTCCAGTTTTGTGAACTCTATACACATACAGTTTTAAATCAGCTTACTTCAATTTAACCAAAATTATATTTCTTAAACTCGAATTCTTTAAATTTTGTTTATTTTAATATTTATTAAAAACCAATTAAATGATTCAAATTTTCTATTTATAATAGTATATGTTTGTATATCCTCTCTATTATAGTTTATCAAATAAGTGTTTATTTAAAGCAACTTATGATATGTTATATAATTATTATGGAACTTAAATGTTTCAAATATATTAAATATTTTACTTAAGGTTTGAAAATGGAAAATCAGACAAAGAGATACTTGATGATTTAGTGGACCCAAACAGATATGACAAAAGGTTATTGCCACCAGTGGATGGTAAGTATTTTTCAATCGATTAATATTCTTACTTAATAGTTAATAACGACTATATTAACAGAACTCAACCTCACCAGATGTAAGCTATAATAATAATGTTGATGACTATTTTTTTTATTTTTTTGTAAATTGATTATTGTGTAAAAATATAATTTGAAAAATGGCACCTGAAAGTAGATGTGGTAAATTATACAGTATATACCAATTTATTCCTATTCTTCTCATTATTTGTATTTCCTATTTTATACTTTTATACTCAAGTTAATTAATTTTTTATATTATTTTCTAGATCATATCTAAATTATTTTATATTTTTTAAACTCAATTTTTAATAATTTTTTGAGATTATAAATTCTCATAGATTGCAGTTTTTGAGTTTTTGATTTTATCAAAACATAATTTTATAGTTTATTTAATTATTTTTTTTTTTTTTTTACTTTTTAAAGTGTATTATTTGATTGTGGGCGTTTGTGTTTCTCTCTCGTCATTTTATTGTTTATAAATTATACTCATATTAATTTATTCTTTATAATTTTATACTTTTACCAGTCACTCGGGGATGTGACCTCTGAATAATCATTAATTAATGAATTTTCCTGCCGGTACCCCTAGACATACTATTGACACAGTAATAATGAATTGTTTCATTTAACAATTTTCACAATACCTGCTAATAAAATGTTTATGAAGAAAATATAAACGCATATATATGGATAAATTATATTGTAAGTTTTAAAATGTATAATAATTTGTGAAAATAAATATTACAAATCATATTTTCAAGAAATAAAAATATAGAAAACACGAACAATTAATATTATATTATACTAAACAAGGGCTAAAGTAGTAACTGATAATACCACAGTATAATATTTTAATTTTATTTCTATTTTCCATACATTTTTATAAATAAAATGTATTTATTTGTTATATAATTCTTCATAATCTAACACTTTGTCTTGATAACCACCAACTGAGCTTATTGATAAAATTACTTGTTAAATTAATTAATATTAATTATTATCTAAATTCTAATCTTGACTATAATTATAATAAGATTCTTTTTATATATTGTTTATAAATACAAAATACTTTCTCAGTACACACTAAATACCTACACATTACCACATTTTAGGTGAGATACAATTATCTCACAAAAACTCTCTAACCTCATCACAAATTGGTTCTATAATAATTATAAAAACATCTTATGTTTAAAAAATAAATACCTCTTTGAATATATAAAAACCAAATGCATGTCTAGATCAAGATTTTTGCTGTGGAATGAAAACACCTCAAGACGTAAGAGTAATACTTCCTTCGGCCAACAAACATCCTATTCGTAAAAGTATACGTCATGATTTTGTCTAACTTATAGTTATCATATTATAATAAAATTATAAATTTATACAGGACCTTTATTAGTAAATGTCAGTGTACTGTTACTCAGTCTGGCCTCACCCGACGAGTCTAGTTTGGTAAGGAAAAAAATATAATATAAATCATTTGTTTTAATAATAATATTATGCATATCCGTGATGCATCTATTTTAATTTTTCTACAAGAATACTCATATTTTATTTTTTCCTCTAGAAGTACGAAGTTGAAGTTTTACTGCAACAACAATGGTATGATCCTCGTTTACGGTATTCAAACCAAAGTCGGTATGATTTTCTAAATGCTATTCACCACCACAATGATATTTGGGTACCAGACACGTATTTCATCATGCACGGCGATTTCAAGACATCACTAATACCAGTACACTTTTCTCTGAGGATCTATAGGAACGGCAGTGTTCATTATTTGATGAGGTAATTATAACCATATATTATCTATTTACCTCCCTCACTCGGCTCCTATTTTAAAGGTAGTATATGTGATAACTTTATTAGTTGGTAAAAACTTTACCGTAAAGTTCTGTAATTGAATTGTTAGTATACCCATATAGTTACAATACAATATGGTTTCCCGTACTTTCGTAAGATCCTCACTAGTAATAAACATGTTTGTACACCACACTGACATCCCGTGGGCTGTAAATATTCCATAGAAGCGATACGGCAAAGTGGGTAAACCGCTAAGTCAGAAAATTTAATTTACTTATCCACAACTATGAAACTTCAAAAAGTGACCACCGTTTATTATTAAGATACAAAGTATAAAGAAAACAATTAACAATTTTTCAGACGCCATTTGATTCTGTCATGCCAGGGTATATTGAACATATTTCCGTTTGATGATCCGCAGTGCACGTTTTCAATGGAAAGCAGTAAATATTTTATTTTTATAACATTTATATTATTAAGTAATAAATAAAATAAAAAATTGATTTTCATCAACAAGGTACGATGGTCCAAATTGTATCTTATTTTTACGACACAACACATCATAAAAGTTATTGGTTTGTTTTCAATGAAATAATGAAGTGTTACTTAATAAAAATAAAAAGTATTTTTATGAGATGAAAAAGTCTTAAATACGATTAATTTTATGTTATAAAATTTATTTTTGTATGTACAGGCAACAAAATTGCATTTTTTTTTTTTTTTTTTTTTTATCACTTTTTATTGTCATATATTATGTTTAGTATCATATGAAATGTCAGCTATAAAATATGTATGGAAAAATGATGAAAGCACGTTGAAGAAGTCACCATCGTTAAAAACTTTAAACGCATACTTAGACCGAAATCATACGACTGAATGTCCATCTACTGGCAGTTGGAGAGGTAAATGAATTTATTTTGAGTTTATAAATTATTAGTATAAAATTCTCGTATAATTGATATATTATAACTATTATTGCAGAAAAAAATTTGATTTAATTTCAATTAAAACGAAATCTCAAAAATATAAATTTGTATTTTACTATTGTTAAATAATTGCAGCTAAAAAAAATGTTAAGCGAAACACGTTCAGATACCCATACTAAGATAATAAAATAATTATATTTCCGGGTGTCTACCAACTATGTTTGAAATAAAAAATATGGACAATTCAAAAATCTATCCATCATATAAAATTAAAAATAATATAATTAATTTAATGTCAAAAATGATTTTTTTATTAAAGAACTTAAGAAATAAAAAAATCAATATATATATATATATATATATATATATATGTACATTGTACATTTAAATGTTACAAAATTTAAAATATTTGAAGTTACAAATATACAGGTATAATCTATTTGATTCATTCTAAATTACTATCTATTTATAAAATATTATTATTAATCAGTATTCATTAAATTGTAATTATACATTAAGTACATAGGTATTATATTATTATTATTTATTTTATATTTAATATTTAAATACATAATTTTGACAAATATTTTATTATTTATAGGTAACTATAGCTGCCTTGAAGTGAATTTGATTTTTACCAGAGACAGAGCATTCTATTTTACTACGGTTTTCATACCTGGTATAATATTGGTAACTTCATCATTTATCACGTTCTTTCTTGAATGGAATGCCGTGCCAGCAAGAGTAATGATAGGTATTTTATTTTAATCTACCGTAACTATATTTTTTTATTTAAAAGTCCAAATGAAGTATCCTCCATTTTTAATAATAAAGTTTATGACAATCATTAAGTTAAATATTTTGGAATTTTTAATATATAGGTACATTATATATTATATATATGTAATTAATAAATAAGCTAAACAGCATAATCATTTAAATAGTATTTAAATATAACCAAAAAGTCATCCAAAATATTCAAAATGTATAGGTATCACAATCATACATATTAGATATACATAAATCAATATTAAAAATTTAAAAAAAATTTAATGCTAAGTCATTTTTTTGTAAATTATGTATCATGTAATATTTATTTTATATCTAAACATTAAATTGTTTAGCATAAAGAGTGATCCAATATTTTAGTGTTTATATGGAGTGGTACTAATCTATCAGGTCATTAATCAATTCGTTTTAACACTATAATGTACTTTTAAATGTTTACATGTAATTTTTTAGTATTAAATTTTTTATAAAATAATTTATTTATTATAGACTTAATATATACCTATTTATTAAAGTTGTTAAATATTAAGTAATTTATTAAAATTAAAACGTTGGTATACATTATATCTCCCTATATATAATTGATTTCAATCAGTGAAATAATATTAAATCTTCGTTTACATCACAATAGTTATTTTTAAAAACTTGAATTTATAAAAATTAAAACAATAAAAAAAAAAATTACCACAAACAATTTAATAACATATTAACATGATATTATATTGATATATTTTAGGCGTAACTACAATGTTGAATTTTTTCACCACATCGAACGGTTTCCGAAGTACTCTGCCAGTAGTATCAAATTTAACTGCCATGAACGTTTGGGATGGCGTATGTATGTGTTGTATATACGCCAGTTTATTGGAATTCGTATTAGTAAACTACGTGGGACGAAAACGTTCAGATTGGCCGTTGCCCATTGTATACCAAAATAAAGATCAAGACTACAAACAAACAACGCAAGTAAGACTTAATTTTACTTAGTTTTTCTTTCTATAATATATTTGCATACCATAAAATACGTATCATATTCGAGTTACTTTAATTTTTTGTGACTTACTAATATTATTGTGTGGATGTTAACTCCTTAAAAATAGCAATGCTCTAATTAGTTAAGCAATATATTTTACTCTTGGTGAATTATATATCAATAATTTTATTCAGTATTTTTTTTCTATTATTTACTAATATGCATTATAAGGTATAAATCCTTGCCCACCACTCATTACACATAAAATACATTAAAATTAAAAGGTAATTAATTATAAGACCATTACAGGAACGCAGAAATAATCAAGCAAATTTTTATTACTTATATTTACTGATATTTTATTCAAGTTAACTCGTATTATAAATATTAAGTACAGTACACGTATAATAAAAATATAACACCAGGATCTAATTACAATAATTAATTTTATATAAAATGAACGTATTTGCATACTTATAACAACCCGAGTAATTATCTCACAAAACATCGATGAAATATTTTTTAATCGATAATAAATGCATTTAGAAACCCTACAAGTACATATTTCATTATTAAACGAAAACAAAATATTCAAAAAAAACGTAGAAACATAAAATTGTTTATACGTTTTTATTATGAAGAGTTATTCGAAAAGAGTAATAATTTTACTATAGAAATCTTATATTATATATAAATACCCCAAACATATTTTATTTCAATCGTATAATACGAGTTTACTATAGTATAGTAACCTGAAAATTGCTTAGGAAAATAAAATAAAATCTACCACATATCTTTCACATTATAACTTATATTTATACGAGGCAAGTACATTCTTAAACATAAAATATTAATAAGCAAATCTAAAACTACCAAGATGTGTACTAGAATGAATATGTCACGGTGAATTTTTACTTGAAAATATTGCATAATAAAGTTATTACATTTGCATTTTAATATAAAAGTGATAAAAATACTATATGGAGCTATCCTCTTGTCTAGAAAGTTTGTGTGTTATATTATACTTTACCCTATTATAATATAATAATAACTTTATGTAACTTATAATGTCACCCCAGTAAACATTTGCGCACACACGTTTTTCACAATACATATATTCATAATATAAACTCCACACCTGAAAACGTCATAATTACATTACATTACGTCTATTTTCATTTATAAAAGTCATTTTAGTTATATTGTTTGCAGAAGTGTAGTATATTTTTAATTTATCAGATACTTGGTTTGATATTAATATTCTAATTCACTATAATAATTTTATAGAAAATACAACGATTATCATTTTATTTATTTATCAGAAACAAAAATGAAAATAAATTATATAAATACATACTTTTAAAATAAAGGCCAATACATACAATACATGCTAAACCCTCTTTTGCGCTAAATCTACCACTGTAACTATAAACACATGTAATAAAATATTAAATAATATATAGGTACGTTCTATAGTAATTTAGTATCAATTTCTTAATATGGAGGACTTGATTCTCTTGCGTATACCCTCTTCTCACATAAATTCAATATGAATACTATCACAGCCATAAATCACCAAATGTAATTTCATAAAAGTACTAGATACAAATTATTAGAAAAAATTTATGTTGCACTCGTATTGAGTCCGTCATAATTCATAATTTAAATTACTATAACTGGCTACCTATTGATAATAAATATTCGTTCTCAATAAACTTAATAAAGGATCCGCAATTAAATCCAATATTTTTTTTTACTTTAGATAAAAGTATTTAACAACAAATTATTTCCAACTAACAATCAAAATATACACTAAAACAAAGAACTATTCCCTTTAATCAAAAATATTCTCTGAAAATTAAAATACGCAGATATTGGTTATTTCATCAAGAATATTGTTAATCGTGTTTTGTAATTACTTTACGTAAGAGAACAATAGAAACTAGAAAAAAAATGCAAACTCATAAATCAGTACTTGCTCTATATATCACTCATTTATAATCATCACACCACACTTCGACATAATACGTTTTTACAGCCGTTGCTTACCTATTAACTAAATTAACTTTAACCAATTTTTATATAACTGTGTAACACCCTTACAAAAATTCAATTGATTAAATTGAATGACAGATATTATATTAAACAATAATTACATTTATTTATAACAAAATTTGCGCTAAAAATCAGATCGCGTCATAAATCTATCCCATCAGTATCGTAAGAAGAAAAAATAAAAAAATTTTGATTGGCTTCCCCTTCCACAAAGATCTAATCAAGCATATATTGAATTAATTATGTAAATTTAAAAACAAATCTTCAATATATATTGTTTATTATTATTTAAGATCTATGATATATGTACAAAGTTATAGTTTCTGAAGTAATTCGATTAAAAATGTAAAAACATGCATTCATAGGTATCAATACAGTATACAACATAAATGATATGTTAAACTTATATATAACTTACAAAATTATATATATGATAAAACATAAACATATTTTGAATGCAATGCCTCTCGACTTTATTTCGTTTTTTTTTTTTTTTTACACAAAATATGACAAAATAAAATAACTTTTATCTTCATATTCCCACAGCGTTATTTAAATCGACAAGATGCAAATCAGATTAGTTATGAAAGTTATGTGGATAATGAAAAGTTCTCTGCAATATACGTAAGGTTTTGGATAATAATTAAGTAATATTGTAGGAAATCAGATACAATTTATTTATACACCGTATTACCGATGTAGTATATGACAAATGCCTCGCAGTAGAAAATAATTGATTTAAAAAAAAAAAAAAAAAATATGCAGTGTATTGTTTAGCAAGCTTACTCTAAATACCACAGATATACAACCTTAATAATGCTATACGTAATTTTTAACATGTATGCTTGATAAAAAAATTTAATAAATAACACATAGTCATTATCTTAAAAGTATTTTACATTATATTAAACACGTCACGTAAATTGTAGACAGATGTTGGACAATGAACAAAAAACTTGGGTAACACAAGAAAAAAAACTACATTTTTAAATCATTTTCCCTCTGTTTAAAGTGCTTTATGTACAATTATTTGAATAAAAAAAAAAAATTGTTCGATATCGGATTTTGCATACCTACATATTTCAAATACAAATACAATATTGTCAACATATTTTTCTGAGACTCGTTTTGATCCTTTGTATTACCCTAATTTGCATCTTTGTAATTAATTATCAGAACTAATTTTAAAATATTTACCTAGAGCATAATATATTATTATAAATTATTCACTTTTATTTAATAGAGTTGTTTTTTGTAGATATTAAATACCTACAAGAAGTATAAATTGTATGAAGAAAAATCGTTTAGGATTTAAATGCTTACCGCAATCAATATTTTATAATTTTTGAAATCTTACTTGTCTTTGAGTCTTACCTGATTTCCCAAGTACATCAAATATTATAATGATCAACAAGATTATATACCAATAATAAAAGTAATAATCATTTTACTTTGTATACGAGTACTTATAATAAAAAAAATATAAACTAGTTCAAAATAAATACCAGTATGAAATAACCAATAATAGGCGTGAAACAATTTTACTCATCTATTTAACCTATTTATAAGTATAATAATATAGTACAATAAAAATTTCACTTTTATGGGAATTAATTTTGATAGAAAAAATATTCAAACGTTTATTTCTAATATACTTAGATATTATATAATATTTTTCAAATAAAGTCATTTTTAAATAGTGTTTTTCTGGCAATTATTTTATATACAAATATAGTTTATTTTATATACACCGACATTAAACTTTCTGTAATTAATAAAAATATATAACATTTAAAGTTTAGATCCTGACTTAACACACTTCATAATATTTTAGTAATATGTTTCTTTTTAAATTATTAATTATTTCATAAGACCTTATTTGTACATTTTTTTTTTTAAATATTTGCAGTATTTACAACCTTAAACTTAGATTTCATACCTATTTTACTTAAACAATATTTTTCAATACCTTTAAAATGTATTTCACTTAGTTATAAAATAAAATATTACAAAACATTTAAAAACATTTGTGTAATTTTAAAATTAACTATTTCTACTTAAAATTCGAGCAATGTATTTTTTCATAATATTCAATTAATACAAAATAATTTAAATAAATCCAAAAACCGGATCTTTAAGGGTATTTAAAAATTCAAAAAATCATATTTTGAATAATTTCATTATCAAAGAAAAGAAAGAAGTGGTCGTCCCTGATGAATCACTCTACATACTTCCATGGTCCATATGAATGAAAACCGTTTTCAAACAATAATAAATTTATTTATTTAATAATCAAGCAGTAATGGCTAATTATTAACAGCAGCCCTTTCAAATTTTAAAAATAATTCGTTATCTAGTATTTTCCACCTGTTATAATTAAAAAATTTAAATACGATGTTTAATTTTTTTTTTCATAACAATGTTTACCACCCAATAATACTCGTCTACAAACACTAAATGAAAGTGAACAACTATAAATTATTTCCGTTTGTTTTCGTTTTATTTTTGATTAGTCTATTTTTAACTACGAGGATGAGTTAGATTTTTATTTCAGTTTCATTTTGTTCGTTTACTGCCTGAGTAAACTCTATAATGCATTATGAGTATTTCACATTTTCATGAATACATGGATTGATAGATACAATGTTAAAGCCGTATACATTACATTTTATTGTTTCGTTTATAAGAACTAGAGCAGCACTAGTACGTAAAATTACTAGCAACCAAGTATCACATAGATATTGCCAAAAATGGCAATAGGTAATAGAAATAATTGTGTTATTTGAGCTTAAAATTACAGAAGACGAAATTACCTTTTGCAACTATTAACTGTTTAATATATTAAAATTATTTCTATTCTTTAAATAATTATCCATCTTCATTATTATCCATACGATCATGAAGTAATTAAATATAATTATAATTTATAGATATTTGTGTTTACACACACTTACTTATATATATATTATTTTTTTAAACATTTAAATACAATACATATTTTAATGTTCAAACATTTTATTGAAATCCTACAAGAGTCAATATTATTTTATATAATAATAACTCATTCCATTACTTTTGTTTTCATTTAGAGTGACAAGACCCAAGGGGAATGTTCCAGTTGTGAGCAAGGGGCGTGCACACATTCGTTATTACACAACACCTGTCCATCAAAAACAGTACGTATACTTTTTCAATAAGCGTATCAAAACGTTTATTAGAATAATTTAAAATTTAAACTAAACAAAAAAAAGTTCTATTTTTGCAAAAGATTTATTAAATAACATGTTGTAGTTAATTCACATAATACCTATAATACATTTTTGATATGCCAGTATTAGTGATTAAGCTATTTATTATCTATATCAGATACCTGTTTAAGGTTTATTTTTACTATATTTAAAAGAAATGTAATATGTATTAACATATTACATTAGTCCAATACTTCAAATTAAAATGTTTTGTTTATCAATTTATGTATGATATCTTTTTTTAACGCGAAATCACGACTTTTGTTAATAATAATAGGTAAAATACAATGTAACTTATTTCTACTTGATATTACAGACCTATAGTTTTTCATTTAGAAATGAAACTTATACGTTACTAAAGAAATTTTTATTTTTATTACCTCATACACATTTTACAATCTTAAGCTAAACAATATTTTTATTCTATAAGATATATAAAACTGATTAGTTTAGTAGTTTTTAAACTGTAGGCCTTGGCGCAGCGTCCAGGATTCCATAACGATCAATTGCCTATTATTAATATCTAAGAAAAATATCTTTGAAAGTTTTAATTCTATTCCCTACACCTAATTTATATACTAAAAAGCCTTCTCTGTTGTTATTTTTACTTAAAAAATGTTTCAAAACAGCATAGAATAGGTACATAGAATCTAAACATCAATTAAACTTTTCGAATATTGATCTTGATGTTCAAAAGCTGGTGTCCAGAATTTACCACCACTCTTTGTATTAATAATAAAAATCAAATTTTAAAATAAATAAAAATATTTAATAGTAAATTTCTATGTAAAAGAGTATCATACCAGTTGCACTAAATTTTTCATAAATAGCACTATTACACAGAATTTTTTTAGTACCTACCTACTCTTACTTATTAACAAAAAAAATATTATGATACGTATTATAATGATTTCAAACCCCTAATATAAATTTTTAAAAATTGAATTTATTCTTACGATATAGGTAGTAATAATTAGTACCTAATACAATAATAAATTTTAAAAAATCTCATACCTATAACTAACTATTCAAACAGTCAAACTATAATAATGCTATTGATTTTTATTTTTCACCAGGAAGAACAAAATATTAGAAGCAATGGCGGCAAGAAGCGTAAAATGCCACCACACCCAATACGGATTGCTAAGACCATCGACGTTATCGCTCGCATCACATTTCCTACGGCATACGCAGTGTTTCTAATATTCTTCTTCATTCATTACACTAGTCATCCAAGTCATTATTCCCAATAGACATATTATTATGTATTATACGGGTGGCTCAAGAAGCTCAACGTTTATATATAGCAATATAATAATAATTTGATATAATGTTATTTTAAATACGATCAATACCGGTATTGTTTACAACTTGACATTGGACTAATAAATTCAGAGATCCAATAAAGTTAATCTAGAAACAAAATAAATTAGGCTTGAGGGAAAAAAATCTCAAACCACGGACAAAAAAAAACATTTTTAAAATGCAATAATATTATTAAATATTGATACGATGTTAGCGTATCGTTTTAATTAATTGTAATTAAAAATAAAATTAAAAAATCCATTAGAATACAATTTATTAAGTAAAATGAAACATGTATATTATTAAGAAAATTAAAACATACGTTTTTTTATTATTTTGAATTTTATCATTCAAAAAATTAAAACAGTAAATTATCTCCATAAAAATATCAACTGGAAAAAATCCAGCCCGTCTAAAAGTCTGGTAAGGAAATTAAAACTTAACATAGGTAATATAAAATATTTTATTAGTAATAATATTATCTGTATGGCTTATGAACTTAATAAATTACCACAAAACCAATATATTATAGGTATGAAGATTTTCTTGTCTGTTGTTTGAGATTTATTTTTTCAAAATTTTTCACCCAATAGGAACCGATAAATATAAGATGTCAAATATAATAAGTATAATACTATCGGATGTTAGATATACCGGTAAATGGTCGAGGGTTGACGTACAATGTTTTTATGATCGTATTCTGCAGAAATTATCGAACGACAGTTGTATGTATACAGATATCAATGCATTGAACGCATTACCCTCTTTAACTAAGTGCATAGGTACATAATGGTTTAAATTACGGGTAGGTGATTACACAGATATTATAGACTTTGAGGTATAATTCACGTACTTTATTTGATTGTAAATTTACACCAATGTGTCATATACTCATGTGATAATTTAGTAGCATTTATTTGTTCATTTTTATTGTATAACTAAATTTTTTTTTTTTTTTTGACAATAAGTAACTTTTTAGGATTTTAAATTATAATACTCATTCGGTATATTATAATTTCCCTTGTGTGAAATATCATACATTTTACTGTCTTACTATTTGAAAGTACCAATAATTAACAATAGTCATAAAGTAACATTATAAGATCTATAAAACATGGAAGTGATTACTTACCACAGTTTAAAAAATATTTATAATTCAAATATGATAGGTACATTATTTTTTGATTCGTCAGTTCTACAAACGATACTGAAAACAACAAAAAAATGTCATTAAAGTTTATCCGTTACAATAAGACGTAGATACATATTTTAATACACTTCGCCGTAACGTTATATTTCTTAAACGAGTATCGTGAAAAAAAATTATTTGAAGATTAAACGCACCAAATCAAAATATTTTATCATATTCATGTAAAAAATAGTCGCATAGTCGTGGACCATAAAATTATATTTACTTGTAGACATTTGTTACAAAAGATACAGGTAAAACGGCTCTTTTCAAAATGTTTTATTATACTAATATTATAGATATGCTGATTATATATGTACATTGTACATAGTATTCTTATAGAATAATAACAATTGATCTGATACAAAATCGTTACAATATCTATTGGTTATTTTTTCATTTATCATCATAGCTCAATAATAATTTATATAAATAAGTATATATTTCGTTATTTATAGATGAAGATTTAATTAATAACGCTATTTTGATCTGATAATAATTTCAGACAATCAGAATCTTGTACATAATATTGTCTACGTCTAGATCTTTTAACCATTTCAAAACTATACAATAACTTCAGACCCACATACATATAATATGTGTAAATACTATACGTAAATGTCAAAAATCATTCTTAGTGCTACATTTTTTTTTAAATATATCAGGATTAAATCTTAGACTTTTTAAAATAACTAAAAACCGCCTTATTCACACCTCATTTAAAATGTATAAATTTACCAAATACCAGCATTAATTACACGTACAGGGTCTAGTGTATATTTTTTGATCCAATACTTTCAAAGTTTCAATTGATATTATTTTGCTTGGAAAACGAGTAACTAAAGAAAATTACAGAACAAAACTTTCTTGTCATCAAAACGCATTACCACTGTACATCCTATATTAGTACTTATATGCTACGCTAATATAAAACAATATAAAATATATCAATTTTTCAAATAGTTGATTTTATTTTTTTGTTAGAACTATAATTATTTACCAAAATATTCTTTCAGTAAAATTTTGGAGGATAATCGACAAATGGACTCATTTCTAACTTAATTTATACTAAATTTCGATTGTTTTATTTAAAATTATTTACGCAAAATGTAGTCATACACCAAGATATATACTAATATACTAATACATTACCAATTTTAATTTTGCTCTATACGAAAGTAAACATAATAAAGGTTAGATCATTAAGTTAGATTAGATATATAATAGCAATCATTTTTTTTTTCATCCGTTTAAAATAAAATGTCGATTTTTAATAAAAACAATAAGTACTTATAGTAGAATACCTTATCGTATAAAAATAATAATAATATTAATATTCATAATAATAAATTATATTAAGTTCTTATTTTTTGAACAGCACTATTAATGAACCTAGTACCTACTTATAAATGCAATTTGCGTCGTTTGAAGAAAATATCAATACATTCACGTTTATATTATACAGCAAAATCAACTTAACAATACCTACACGTCATTTATAAGTCATACCTTACAAAACTTGTAATTAAGCAATGGAATTAACACATAATATTAATTTTTAAATTATTGCAATAATAATCGTAATCTCATTTAGTTAAATATAACATGTTTAACAACGCAATTTATGTGTATAGGTACTCATTACCTTATTAATTAATTTAATTTAATTATCACACATAATACAAATTATTTTTCACACCGTATTATTGTTATAAGTACACCAGTACCTCCTTAGTGTTTTACAATAAGCTTAATTTTTTTACCCCGTGGCACACCTTACACTTGGCATTTCACAGAAATCCCAAGAATATAATATGGTATTCAATTTACGAAGCCACACAATTGCAAAACACGGGAAATCACTTAAGAAAAATTAACTTTTGACTCAAAAAGGTCAACAGCTATAAAATTTACATGTACCTCGTGTCGTAAATTATACGTCTAAAATATTCTTTATCATTCGCGACGCACATGACACATTATACGTAAATCACATTCTGTGTATGACACAAATCGTGTTTTTTTTTTTTATCATCTTCTTGACGAAAATTGCATAGTAGGTACTTCTTAAAATATTAGTTTGTATCAATATGTTTAAAAGTAGGTAAATGTCATCAGAATTCTTGTGTACGATATATTAAATTAAAATCAATACAATTTTATGATTTAAAACTTATAAACTTTACATTCATAATTTACTCTAATTTGCATGCATAAATATTACATATTATATTATCTATAATATTTTGAACAGATTACAATATACAAATTATAAAATTGACTATTTCAGAACTAGTATCACACAGTCACTTTTATACCTCTTGGCTTTTATATTATTAAAAAGCTAATAAAAACACTAGACATATTCAAAGTCATAAAATAATAAATTTAATTTTTTTATACTCTATTTAAACCATCTATGTAATCGAAGTGTAAAATTTCAAAACTTAATAAAGGTATACCACTTCTGAGTGTACCATTATATTTACTTGATTTCACTAACGACTTAGGTAGTTAGATATTACAATTTGTTTAATCGTGTCTTATATTTTTATAATTATTGTGTTTCTAGTGTACAATAATATGAATCCTATAACTTAGAACAACGTTGTCATTGAATTATTAATAAAACGCTTTCTTGTATAAGTGTAACACTTATTTATTTAAAATTTAAATATTTTTATATTTAGATAGGTATCTATCTACAAACTTAATCAATATTATATTCATTAATCGTTATCGATTTGTTTTTTCAAAACGACAAGATTAAATAAATTAAACAACTAAATTAAATGTTATGAAAACTTATACCAAAAATGAAAAGTTATTCCAAGTTATATTATTTCCATTTTCCTTATTCAGCTAATTAAATACAAAATGTACAACACGATAGATACTTATATACAAAATTTAAAACCGTAGTGAATTATATTTTATAATAACATACAAATAATTACAGTACAGATACATTATTGAAAATTATAAATTTAAATGTGTATCTTCTATCTGTATTCTTTCATAGATAACTTGTAAAATAGGAAATAATTATTAACTGCCTCTTCTGCATAAATATCTATTGAAAAGTAACTTTTTGAAAATGTGCCTACTTACCTATATAACATTGTGTATTCCATCTTATGCATAATGTGCTTATACAATATATACAATATTATAAAATAAAAATATTAATTTATTTTTTCAATCATTAAGAATCTGATACAGTAACTGTAGGTTGACTTGTATAGGTAGCGTGTTTTGAGTGTTTGAGTCGTCATAACTTCTGTACGGCTACCACTATATTATAGTTACTCTATACATGCATAGTTAATATTTTCTTCCAAAATGTAAAAGCATAAGACTAATATTGTATATTTTAATACACTTGAGGGTTTTGCGATTTTTCATCATGATAATTTGATTTTCATATTTCGAGAAATTGCATTTTATTTATCATCATCACAAGCCTATTTATTTCAGTCTATATTTTATGATAAATAAATGAGTTAGGTAAGGCACATTGGTTAAACATACTTTTAAAAAATTACAATAGTACACTTATGGTAGTTGAATGGTTTTATTATATGGAATATGTACCTATACTCTGTATACTCCATCAACTAGTTGTGATATACTCGTGTTATTATTTTTTTGTAACTAGGTACCCATCTTCTCACTAGTATTGACAATGTCTAATTTCAATAATAGCCTATTTATTTGTCAAATATAAAATATACAATACCTACAATCTACATAATATTATGTTGCCAATCAAACAGTTATAAGTATGACTGAAGTGTTTATTTTTTCTGTTTTAACGAGTTATGAATAAAAACCATCAGTGCAACAAGCAATAAAATGTAATTCGTTAATTTTAATATCCTTTTAATACTTACCCGATTGTTGAGAAATCTATGTGCAAAATATTAAATTTACAATGAAATTTTGTTCCTTTGCCAATTTAACATTTTTTTTTTTTTTTTAAGTAATTATCTAATTATAATCATATACTACAAAATAAGTAGATATAACTAATGATTTAATAATCGATTAAATTTTAAAATTATGTTTTTTTTATATATCTACTTGCACGATATATTTCATAATAAATTTTGCTAATTAATCAAGTTCTAGAAGATGTAAAAAATAATTTTTATATCTATATGACAGAAGTAATTTTATTATTAGAGAAAAAATAAAATAATTTTGCTCATCAATTTTCAAAAAATAACCGATCGCCCACTTATAAAAATAATATTATATCAATAATTAATTCGATTATATTAAAATATAATTAATTACTTCAGCCTATACCTACTATACTAATCTTAGATATCTAAATAGTCGATAGGTAGGTAGTACGTAGTAGGTATCATTATTTACAAAGCAACTTACAATTCATTCGTATAATATGATATATTAGCCTAACTAAAATGTATTTATATTTTGTACTAAACTACCTATTAGGAAGGTAGTTATCTCGTTTTCGTTTAAATAGTCTGATATATAATATTTTAATCGTTTAAGATTTTTACCTCTTTAGTATTTACAGTTCGTTATTACATGATATATATTACATACTTATAGGTATAATTAATATAGCAAACTCGATTTTACACTATCATACAATTTGCAATCATTACTCATTAATGTAGGTACGTCATTCATATTTATAAAAAAAGGATTCTAACACCATTATAACTATAAACAAAATCATCATGCGTTTTATAATGCCTATTAGCTATTTGTATAATAAACGACCCATATTTAATATTTATATTTTTCTAGGTAGGTAGGTACTATATTATTCATAGCTTATTACGCTTTTCTTCTTTTTTATGTGTAAAAACAACAACCATATTTAAATCATAATCGTAATATATAAGTGCCTTTGTGTAGTTGTATTGTTTTTGCGAATAATGGTTGTAATTCAATAATGTTTATCAACATTACGACAATGGATCAACGGGTATATTTGTAAATTGCAAATTGTAATCAAAGTTTAGTGGCACATTGTGCGTTATGGAAAACACAGTATTTCATTGTTACGTGTGCGTATATTTTATTTGGGTATTTTTAAGCAGTCAAGCATATCAATTTACGCTGTGTTATTATTTTTAAAGTTGTAAAACTCATATTATTATTATTATTATTATTATTATATTTGTTATAAAATAGTTGCATTTGCATATAATGATTTTAATTTTTGTTAGTTCGTTTTACTATTATATTATAGCGATTATTAATTTGTTTTTTCTGTTTTCATTGTTCTTTTCTATAAAAAAAAATTTTAAAAATTAAAATGATCATTATTGCTAAAATGCTAATCATACTCGTGAATATTGACTATTGATAAATTTATTTTATCAATATACACACAAAATAAGTAATATACTAATAAAATATTATATTATTATTTAATATACATAATTAAACGTCAAGTTGTATAGTTTACTGTTTAACAAATAAATTAATATATTGCTTATAATATTTTAACATAATATATAGTAGTATTAGATTCAATTTATATACAATTTATATATGTACCTATGTAATATACATAAATATTACTTTAGCTGCAGATTTTAAATTTAATATGTTTAATTTAATATTAATTTTCTTTAAATTATAGCGTAGCTAAATAATTTGTTGTTTTTCTTACTAAATAGTCTTACAGTACTTTTTTTTGCATTTGTTATTTTATACACAGGTATTCATTTTTCTTGTAATAAAAATATATACTTATAGATATTTATCTTTATTATTACATAATATATTGAATACACATTAATTTTATGACTTAATAGGTAAACAGATGCGTAAAATAAGATATTAATAATGAGTAATTAATAACAATAAATACATATAAAATCATGCATTCATACCCACCTCCTACTTAAAATCTATATTTTGTTCTTTTTACAATAATTATATTTTAATTTAAAAAAAATTAATTTGTAATTTCAAAAAAACAAAATAGATCTAATTTTTTACCAGAAACCACTTTTGAAGATTGAATTTATATTACTCCAAAAAGTGACAAATACAGAAAAAATATAACAATAAAAACATAATTTTAAAATCATTACGTTCAACTATACGCTCAAAATCTTAGACCAATCTTAATGTTAATTTAATTTGTTTAAATATTAATAATTTAAAAAAATAAAACATTGTGACAAAACAAGATAGGTGATTGCTTTACTTAAAATAAATTAAACAAACATTAATCATCTACAAAAATTAATATTTTTAATATTACTAATATTCATTTATTTCCTTAACTAAGCAAAAATTCTCTATTGTTTTTAAGTACTTTAAAACATATTAAATTCACCGTTTTTATTTTTATTTTTCTAATATAATTATTCTAAACTTAAGATATTTCAATAATTTTTCAAAATTTTTCATAATTGGTGAACAGAGCTTAAATAAAATAAATAAATAGCAAACTAAACATTTTAATTTAGATATTTCAATTTGAAACTCACAATATTTGCATTATTAAATATGGATAAAAAAAAAAAAACAAACAATGACCATGGGAACAAAATATATAATAGTTTTATTTACAAATTAAATGGTCCTTCATTGTCATATCGAAATTGACCGTTGTTTAAAGTGGTAATACCCAAACCATATAAATGACCACAGTATTTTTTACTGTCAATCATTCCTTCAAAATACATATCTCTGATTTTGAAAAAAGCCATGCCTGTTAATAAAGAATCGCTACCAGCCTGATGTTGAGGGCCAATACGCTTCAGTTCTAGTTGATCAGCCACTTCTTGCAGACCACCCTTTAAATTTTTACAACTCTTCATTAGGTACTTTATGTCATACACACAGGGAAAGTACAGAGAAAACATTTCAAAGAACTCAGACTCTTCTTGTGGTAGTTTTTCATCAGTCAATACTTTAACCAAGTAACCAAAATCAAAACTACTGTGGAATGTCATCCATTTTAAATTATCCATCAATACTAAACCAGATGTTATAATGAATTCAGCAAAAACTATCGGCTCAATTCCATTCTCTTCATGATTTTTAAATTGTATTCTATAAAACAAAAACTTATTTCAAGACATACAACAAACTCAAAATTATTTTATTTATATAGGTATATAAATTAATATAATTTAGCTTTCTTAGTAATATACAATTAGTTAAAAGAAATTTATCAATTACCTAGAATTTGTCAATAATTCTATACTGTCTTGAGCATACATGTCTTCAGATAAATTAAATTTAAAATTGAACTGCCATGTTGTATATTGGCCAGTAGGTGTTTTGCCATCTTCATCAAAAAATGAAAGTCCTAATTGAATAATTCTCAAAAGATCGACATTGCATCGTAACAACTGATACAAATAATCAGAAGCAGTCTTGAAATCACCGATTGGTCGAGCCACGACTCCAGGAAATTCGGTGTCCATGGCTACATAACAGTATTTTGGTAAGAGTTTTCGTATTGATGCAAATTCTTCTTCTAAATTATGAGCCCATACATCTTTTATACCATAATTGGGATGTATCCATGTCTGTAGTTCTGGTTCTAGTTCTTCTACTTCAGTGGTAAGTGTTAAATTATTATCAGGCATATCAATAGTGTTATGCTTAACCTGTGTAATATACATACCTAAATTAGTTATCAAAATAAGATTATTTTAATTTTGAGAAAATGAGAAATGAAAATGTTAAATATTTTACTCATTAATTTAAAATCTCTTGATTTCAAAGCTAGTAAAATAACATTTTCTGCCCAAATATAATAAATTTATAAGTATAAACATTTTATTTCAAAAAAAATAAATTTATTAAAGTATTAACTGTTAAAAAACAATCAAGAATAAACACTGAAAACGTTAAATTAGTATCAATAAGTAATTTTAAATAGTTTTCCCCTTTCATTGACACAAAGATTAAAGAATTGGACAAGAAACTATGTCATACAACATAGTTTTAACAATTTACAAATCATTAAGTACAAAGATTGAATAAAATTTGGCTAATTAAATTGACACATAAATTAAACTGAACACATTTACTGACTTAAACAAAGGATGTTTATATAAAACAAAATTATTAAAAATAAAATGTATAATTTTTTTTTTGTTTAATTACCGTGTGATATACCAAAAATTATTTAATTGCTTTGTGAAATGTTGGGTAATATGGATTTTGCTCTGTATTAAATAATTTTAACACTCCCAATAGTTAACCTCTATAGTTGTATCACTGATGTTGCTTATTTAAACTTTAATGTAAGTATCATTACCTAGGTCCTAGGACCTCTACTTAATTTATTAATACTAAGTAGGTACCATCAATACATAATATAATATAATAATACCATCATATACATAATGAAACACCGGATCAAGAATAAAAAACCTTATTTATTAATTAATCTACAAAGTTAAATAATATTACCTATCTAATAACAGATATAAATTTAAAAATACCAAGATAATTAAAATTATCAACATCAAATTGATAAATTAACTACTAGGTACTTATTCCTCAAAAATTATAACTAACTACACAATAATGTATTACTTACCATCAAATTTGTTTTTGATTATTAAAATTCAGCAGGAACACTCTGTAATACTAAATAGGTACCACTTAACTTAAAATTAATGTTTCAACTACATTAAATGTTCTATACATTTTAATCGTTTATATAAGTATCCTTGAATTGTGATACAACGATACTAATAATATGCTGATTATACTGATAGGTATAATAATACTTCAATTTTTAGATCACGAAAATATTAACAGAAACAGTTCAGTGTCAGGTATAATAGCGTTTAGCATTAGAGAATGTTATCCATCGACTGTCAAAGTGTCAAAGTGTCAAACTTCAATTATTATTAGTTATTATTACTACTTACCTATTGGCTATTGGTAATTTGTATTATTTTATTATTATTTAATATTTATTTTATTAAGTTTATTGGAAATATTACGTATTACGGGAAAACACGTAGCCATCGTGTGTATAAATAGACGAGATAGAACCATTCAACGTTCAATCATATTATTAAAAATATTAAGATACTATATAATAATTAGTGATTTATTTTAGATTATTAAATAGTGAATACTGATTACTGATTATAATTTATAGTAATAGTATAGTATATATTTTATTATACTGTATTATACCTACTACAAAAAAAAAAAAAAATAGTATGCTTTACCTATATCAGAGACCAAAATTGTGTGGTACTGGTACAAAATGCTAAGTGTGTAATACAAAATTAAAAAAGGTGTAATGACGTAATTATTTTTTCCTTTATTAAATTTTAAATTTTATATATATATATATATATATATATATATTAATACATTTCGAAATATTTTGTAAAAATACCGTTGTTACAATCAAAACTCAAGAGTCAAAATCGGGAAAACTTCAGAAATGCCAGGCAAAATACAAATTGCCCACAATTGGCCACGATACTTGGGGTAAATCCAAAAATGTCATATTTCAGATTTTATCGACAAACTAAGTTGTGACTAACCTCATTTGAGCAAAACCTTAGTAACTTCTATCATAAGGTTTTATTACGATTACGATTATTAATTACTACACGTTTACACATGGGTAAACAGTCTATTTATCATTGTTATTGTATTTTACTTATTCATTATATTAAAGAATACAGGATGTCAGGAATCAGGATGCACCTTGTTTAATTGATATTATACTGTTAATTAATATTTAAATTAATTTAATACATGATTCATGTATGTAAGCACCTTGAAAATATATTTTTATCCTATTTTTATAATTAAATATACAATATAATATTAATTCTAAAAATTAACATTATACTTTTATTATTATGCATGATCATATTTAATTATATATTTTGAAGAATAATATTTATTTTTTAATTATACTATTAAGACGCTACGGTGTTGCCCAACTTAGATTGGTCATAAACTCAACTACAAAAAAAAAGAAGTAGATTTGCCCAGCCAAAGCCAAAATATATTTGCCCAATAATGTGGACAATTATTCGCATTTTGCCCGAATATTTCTGAGTTTGCCAGTAACTTAGTATTAACTAATAACTATGTAGTATGTATAAAATGAAATATGTAAAGATTAGTACCATTTATTATTCATTTAGAAACTAACTAATTTATGTTTATGTGTTACATGCTTTAAATAACTTTGGTGATGCAAAGTTAAATATAAATTGTGTAGTACAGAAATATATATGTTTTAGTTTCTGACCTACCAACATAAATATAATATATTATAAGATAAGACTTATGGATGCTATTCGCTCATTCCGCACTTTGATTCAATTTGGCTGGACTTTGGACACTATTACACTAGGTATTAAATAATAACTAAAATATACATTCAGTAGCGTCAGAATAGTTATTAGTTATTAGTTATTACTTATTATTCAATTCTCACTACTCACTACTTATTAGTTATTACTAGTCACTACTCAGTACTCGGTGAACCCTGCGGCCTATAGGCCAAAACACGTGTACCTATGTCTCTTAAAAAGTGCTTAACGTCATAACTCACTTCATTAAATTATTATAAAATCCGTGAATTCGTGAATAATTTCTGTACTTAAATTTAGTATGATACGCACGTCTTGTAAAGTTATAAAGAGACAACAATTGTCATCTTAAGCTTATATCACAATTTACAATACTAATCTAGTTTATTATTTTCAAATTTAGTATTTATTGATAAATTTTTAGCGCTTATTTAACCAATAAGTAATAAATAATAATTCTAGATGCGCCTCTACCGCTTCAAAATATTAAATTATTAAGTAATAGCTAGTTACTACTTGCTACTAATAAACACGAATTTAGATAGGTACCTATTAAAAATAATTGATTAATTTTTTTATTTTTATTTAAATATTCAGATCTATGGTATCAAAGGAAAAAAATGGTATGGTACATCCAAGGTAAAAATATACCTCATGCAGCATAATTTATATGTATACAACTTTTAGGTGATCAAGGAGTAGCGGAATGGATTAAGGCGTCGATTGTGACACACACCATAAATCCCGGCTACGGGCGGCATCACTCTCTGGGCAGACAACTGTATATTTTAGGTAGCGAGGCCGCCATCCCCCAACCGGATATGGTATAAATCTACGAATGGTGCCTAACTTTTAAAATTCTGCCAAATAGGCGTCCAAACTTAGGCCTTCTGCTGGCTTACTCCCGCACATATAACCATACGCAAAAAAAAAGTTGAAAATAAGCTAAGGCGCCATACATTTTTACGACAAATATTAAATGTTTTTTATTTAATCTTAGTATTTAGTAATAAGTGGTAAAATAATCTGTGTTTTAAGTTGTTCACCTACAATAATTAAAACAGACGAAAAAAATGTCCAAAAGTAAAAATATCATATTTTTTTAAGACTCACGCGATTGAACTGATTGAAGCATGGCAATTATATGCATAGGTAATATTTTATATTGTACAACTGTTATTATAACAAATTACAAACCGACTTATTAATCGGTCAATGAAACTACTAAACGAACACATACAATTCATACAAAACCCACAATATTATTTACTAAAGGAATTAGTAAATTAAGTACATTAATTAAATAAAAAATGATTTCTGAAATCATTTGAAGCGGACAATTATTAATTGTAATTATAGGAAACGTACATCACTCCAGTCTCCCCCCCCCCTTAAAAATATAGATTTTTATTATTCTATCATTTAGAACAAATTTGTACTCGGTGTCCCAGAATATGTATGACCAAAGAGACTAAGTTATATCAAAAACCCTTCGGGGGTTTGGCGTGACGTCACTCCAGTCCCTCACTTAAGAAGAATGAAATTTTTTTACCAATCTTTTGCACCCTAATTGTACGTAATTTTACGCGGAATATAAATATTTATATGCTAATAGTTTTGCGAAGATTGTGATATTCCTTTCAAAGAAGGGGGAGAGATAATAAAAAACAAACTAATTCTTAGAATATTATTTTAAATATAAAAATAAACACTCTAGTTGTATTTTTTGCAAAATTCTCATACGATTCGAGACGTCACATCGTTTTCTAGCTTGTCATGCATTTTTCACGCTCAAATCGCCGACTAAAAAAAAAGTTGTATAACACATTGATTTGTATGAGAACACTGCAAGATTAACAGTGATGATAGTTATTTGCTATAATTTAACATACATGATGAAAATTTAAAATTTTCTTTTTTTGAAATATTTGGAACATTGGAAATTAAAAAAAAATTTTAGCTTTTCTTTCTATAAATGCCAATAAAATATTATTATCGCAAGATGAAAATGCTTTAAAATTAAATGTTTATTTATCAATTAAAAAATATCAAAAATTTACAGTCAATATATTTTTTTATTAATGATTGATTAAGATAAAATGTTTAAATTTGATATTTACCTATAGATTTGAGTTTGCTTAATTTAGATTCAGTATATAAATAACTGAAAATAATATGATAATCCCAAATTTTAAATAAAAAGTACACAATACTTCAACCAAAATTTAACGACAAACAAACCAACTGTTATACTTAAGGAAAAAACTCTTCATCAAATATTTCACATTCATAATCTAGTAAACATTCCAAATGTTTCTATATCATCATAGTTTTAAATGAGTTATTTTATGAAAATATATTTGTAAACTATAAGCTTAGAAGTTAAGGCCTAAAGTTATCATTGAATTGTGATTATCTTTGAGTTAAGTATTTTTTAATTAATATGAAACTAAAATAATAAAAATCAATTGAAATATAATACTGTAAGTTATAATTTAAAATACTTAAAAAATAAATAATTTAATAGAAGTGGAATTACAGATATTAATAAAAGCAGTAAATATTGAATATTGGAAATATTGAATAATTCAAAAAAAAGTACTATTAATTACTCTTTATAATAAAATCTATTAAACAAAAATTATAAACTATAAATGGATAACATTAGTTTAAATCATACCTATATTAAAAAATAAAAGTATGTACTTTGTAATAAAATAATTTATAAAAAATATAGAAAACAAAATTGTACATTTTGCTTTACAAATTGTTGTTATTTAATTTACAAATATGTTACAATTATATTTTCTTATAATAAAATAAAATGTATAGAAAAAAAAATATACATTAGATAAGTATAATAGAAAAAAAAATTAAAATATTAAAATTGACATAGGTAAAGAATTAAGAAATTAAAATAGGAATCTGGAAAGCACAATGGTCAAAAGCGTAATATTTAGTTAAATTATTTTTACAATTTGCCGAAATAATATCAGTCATTAGTCAACATAGAATAAGTACCTAGTACTATTTAACTAATGTTATTTGTTCATGTATAAATATTATTTCTATTGTAACAAAAAATATAATACTAAAAATTTTATAATAAAATGCTGACATCTTACAATAAATAATGTAAGTAGTATATTTTATTTTTTAAACATACTACCTGCTAACTATACTTTCAACTAATTATTTCTTTAATATTAATAAAAGAATACATTTTTTTCCTAAAATCTATTTATACAACAATTTTAATTAAAGCTTAAACATAATAATCATAATGTTTAGAATTTTAAAACGCTCCACTAACAAAAAACTTTTAATAAGCAAAAATATAAAAATAATATATTAAGACAATTAAAGTGAAACATATTTTTAAGAACTGGTATAAATTAAATATAAAATGAATTACTTCACCAGTTAATTGATTAAAGTAAAGTATTTTTATAAATAAATTAAATAAATACATTATATATACTTGATACAAGTTCATCTAAAGTAATTAATAAATAATATTTCAAAATATTTAGATATTTATCTTAAATTATAATTTAAAAACACCAATAGTTATAGTACTGTTTATACAATAAAACTGGCATATTTTATGTTCAGTGAATATGTGGTACATAAACAGTTACATTATCTATTATGATTTCTTAATATTAATTTAATTAATTAATTAATAATTGTGAAGTAGAATAAATATTGTTTTCCTTACAATTTTAATTGGTAGAAAATATTTAAACTGTTTTCTATTAATTTATGATAATAATCACTAGTTAATAAATAATAATTAAACTATGTTGGATTTACCCTGTTAGGTATTTAATTTTGCTTGAAATTGCCTTTAATATGCTAATTACTAAGATGTATATGATACAGAAATTTTATTCAAAATAAAATATGGTGTGTTAACTTTAAATATTACATAATAATTTGGAAATTAAAATATTAATAATACTTGATAGAAATGTAGTACATCCTCACATTAAATAACCTAATAAACAAATAAAATCAGAGTACATAGTTAGAGGAACGTCTTATTTATACTTAAATTTATTAATAGTAAGCTAATTTTTAACAAACCCTTTAGTTATCCACTAGAGTGACATGTACACCCGATGTTTCCATTCGTTGTAATCGTTTTGGATCACAGTAAATTAAACAATTACCAACTTGACTTGTCTTTTGATTTAGTACGGAATTTTCACCGTCTTCATAAAATGTAATACCTGGTTGAAGAGCATATTTTTTCTTTTCTAATCGTTCTTTACTAGCAAATACATCGTGCCTTTCTGTTTTTTTCCATAAATAATAAAAATGAACAAGTTCACCAACTGTCCTTGTAGTCACTCTATGCTGTTGAATCAAATAAAAGTTTTTATTAAAGCAACGGATGCCATTTTCAAAATTTTTGCATTCTTCTTCTGACCAAACCATCATGGCTCTTCGACCAAACATTTGATCATTTAATGAAACTCGACGTAATGCTTCTTCAGTGTTAAATCCACATTGCAAAAGTAAAAATAACGCATTTTCATCATCTCGTACATGCTTGCCTTTAGGTAATATACTTATACCATGAGAAATTTGATGAATATGATGAAGATAGTCAGCAATAACTGCATCAGTTGTATTATGAGGGTCCCAAAGAAGTTTATCAACATTTTGGTACGGTGGATCATCTCCATACTTGGACAATCCATCAGGAATTTGTGCTTGATAATCGCTACCTACCATTATAGTCTTTTTCTTCACTTCATCAAAATCACTACCATCGCTATCATCAGTAGGATCAGAATAATCAGGGCGATCGTTTGTTACTCGCTTGGACATTATTTTAACGTATATATCTAAAAAAATAATATATTCAATAATTAATTACATTTTATTTAATTTTAAATATATTTGAAATATTACCAAACAAAATTTATGCTGAGATTGTTTAAAAAAATTATACACTACATTATTTAAAAAAAAATATTTATTTACGTAATATACTAGCGGTTCTTAACCTTTTATAGATCACAAATCTTTGATCAGACTTTTAGAAATCACAGACCCCTTTACCAATTTTTTTTTTCAAATACTTTTTTTTTTACAAAACATATCATGTTATCATAACCAAATTTATAATAGTTTTTAGTACACTTAATTTTTCAGAAAAAAAGTAGTACAAATAATATAAACTATATCTACCTTTTTACATAATAAGATATATTAACCATGAAAACAAAAATAAGAATTCAACAATATTGTAAAAATGCACTCATGTCACTTATTAACGTATGTTATATATTAAGGTTGTCGCAGACCCCCAACATGAGTATCACGGACCCCAAGGGACCACAGATCACAGGTTAAGAATCGCTGCAAAGTACAAGTAATTCTAGAATATATATTTTACTATCAATAATAATACATAACTAAAATTAATTAATTTTAATTATAATTACTATTTTTTTAAGAGAAAGTTTCTTTTTTGAAGTACATACAATAACAGTTATTAAATTATTATCCTCATAAAAAAATTAATTCTGACACTTAGATTAAAAATCGAATACTAATTGTCAATTCACAACTAAAAATACTAAAATAATCTTAATACGTATTCAAAGTTTTAATATCAAACATTTAAGCAATCGAACTATCCAAATACAAATTATAATTAATATATAAAACTATTTAACTATTGACAATAATAATATCGTAGATACTAATACTAAATAGTCGCAACTCGATAGTATGAAGTATGAACACTATGAACTAATTGTTTATAAACAAATAGACAATGCAATGCAATGTTACCAAATTCTGGTTCCTGATAAACATATGTTTTTAGTTTTTATTTTGTCACCGATTTATAATATTCCTACTACTTACAGATGATAATATTCTTTGATGATACTATTTCATGGAATAAAATCTATAATAATATTATTATTGTAGTTACTAATTATTACCCAAATTCGAAATTCATCTATCCGTCGTACAACGACTTTCTATAAAGTAAAATAATTATTTTGTATTTAAATATTTAATAATTGTTATTTATATATTATTTGTAACAAACTACAGAATCTTTTACATTTAAGAATATATAATAAATCATAATTTTGTTGAAATATATATTGTAACATAATTTTATAATAATAAAATAATAATTATTAAGCAGATGATTGATAGTTGACTAACGAAGATATAAATATAAATCTATAATCATAATTTAAAGAAGATCTTTATAATCGGCGCTATAAATCATTGACTTAAAATAAATAAAAATAAATAAGGAATAACTTTATATTAAGTCAAAGCACAGATGTTTATATTATAATATTATGTATAGGCAATAAAATGAAAAATAACACGTATAATAATACGTAAACATTTATGGGTCAATGGTTTAAGATATAAGCGAAACATTTAATTATAGACGATCGACGTCCTATGATATTTAATATTATGTTTTTTTAATATGTCTAAAAATAAAAATGTATAGTAAAATGAAAGTAAATAGGTAGATAAGGTTTATATATTTAATATGTTGATAACATGACAAATGTAATATTATGATTATTTTAAAATTTTATCACATGATCATGGTTGATAATATGATATACTTTATTTTATTCTAATTTAATTTGAATTATCTAAAACAAAATTCATTTTTACTATTCATTTTGATATTCTTTATATATATATATTAATATAGTTCGTAATTACATCGATTAATACTATAAACAATGGGTAAGAATAACTTGTTTTTATTCAAGTATATACGTTCAGTAACAAGGTTGAAGGAAATAATTACTTACTATGATCTATTTATTATTATTAATTTTTACTGAAAGTTTATTTTATTATATATATATTTTTTATTTATACTAATTATATTTTAATTGAGTGTTTCTATTACTAAAATTATTTTATTATATAAATGTTTAGCTGATAAGTCATTTATTGTTGATCTGTTTATTGTTTACAATATTATGAATAATATGCTAATAAGTAACAGTTGTGTCTATCTAAATTCATTAAAGAGATAATAATTTCTTAATAAATTGAAATCATTTTTAGTATTTTCAATTTTGGTTATTCGCTCTCAACTTTTTGTCCAAATGAGTTATTACCAATTTATTTATTAATTTCCTCTATAAACCTCTTACAATTTAATATCATTAATTCATTGGCATTACTTATTGTACCATAGTATTGAAAAGATTGTTTCATTTAACATATTTAATAAAGATAAGACTTAATATTCCCTTAAACCGATATCCTCCTGAAATTTTAGTATTATCTTACAGAATTGTCAATTTATCAGTAAATACCATAATGAAGACTTTGTTTTAATGATATATAAATATAGTAAAATATAATATGTTTCATTGTTTTGTTCTGTGTATTTAAGGTAACAAAATGTTATTATGTAATATTTATATTTAATACTCTAATCAATGTAGTATAGTAAGAACCAGGGTTTGGTGTTAAGAGAATGTTACACCCACATGGCCACATATATTATGTTGTCTCCATCTTACTAACACATAACATAGACAATTTAAGACTCAGATAAATTTTTTATTCTGTTATTTTGAGTACTTAAGTGAATTGACCTAAAATCAATTTTAAAGCAAGTTAATAGCATTTTAAAATTTTAAATATATATTGTGAGTATAACAATTTCTTAATAACTAATTAAACTTGAAATGTAAGATAAAAAAAATCATATTTTTTTGATATCCCTTTGATGAATTATAGTAAATAATAGAGAAAATAACATTTTATAATCTACCATCTTAAATACCTGATTTTCAGAACAATGTATTAATTTGTTTAAAAATTAAGTTGAGTTGTCAAGTTGAATTTATTATTTTTATTTCACTTATAATTTTAAGTATTATAATGAATAATGATAATAAATTGCATCATAATTTAATTTTAGATGTGTCATCAAACCCATCATCTTCACAAGCAAATGAAAATGAAAATCAGTATCCAGAAGTAAGAATTCGTCAAAATCCACAGACTTGTCATTTGCACAATGGAGATCAAACTGAACATAGACCGCCCCCAAATTGGAGAACAAGTATAAAAATGGATGAAAAGCTAACTATCTGCCGTATATATTATATTGCAGGATTTTTCTTACTGCCATTTTTTTGGTTAGTAAATTTTGTATGGCATTATAATGATGCATACTTAGCTGAACCATTTGAAGAACAGCCACAATTTAAGCGCTATGTTCTAAGATCAGGAATAGGCTTCATTTTTTGGTCTGTGTTACTTATTGGTTGGGTGTTTTACTTTCAAACACAAAGGAATTATCATAACTGGGACTATCTAACCTTTAATTTTCCTACTGGATCTGCTTAAAATGATTGTAGGATTTACTTATTCTCTGTTACATAAGTATTTTATCTTTTTTTTTTTATGTAATATTTAATAACTATTAATGTAAAAATAATAAATAATATTAATATGATTTTTATAATAAATATTAATTTTTAATTCCATACCTGTTAAAATATTGGATCAAATATTATTATTGTGCATTGTATGTGTATGTATATCTAATGATTTATGTCTTAATCAAAATAAAATTTTTAAAAAAATATAATTTCATATATATATCTTGGTTCTTATTTCTTTAATCAATTTTATATTCACCTATTTAAGTAAAATTAATTTTAAGGTTCTATGTGTTGTGTATTTGTAATTTTTATATTGGTCAAAAAACTAAAGCTTAATGTTAATTAAATTTGGTAAATTGTCTACACAATGAACTCCTATTTAACAAATTTCTCTCTAGTGAGAATTTATTTTTTGTTGAAACTTAATAATATAATAATATGGAAGTTTTACTGTGTATTTAAATAAGTATATTTATACTAATACTGATCAAGCTTACATTGTGTAATTAAAAATGTAAGTTATATTTTTTACAATAGATTGTGAGTTATTACAATGTATAATGAAAATGGGTCATGATTTTACCATTAATTGAAAAATTTTAAATTTAATTGTCAGCTATTAAATATTGCTCACTACTATGTACTTTTCATTGTATTATTTATAAGATTTTTTATGTTATTTATTTAACAATTAGTTATATAACCCAACTTCATCATGTAAAAAATGAACAAATATAAAATTTATACTTTAATCTGACCGAAAAGGATAATCTGCCTGTACGGGATTTTATCACTTGGAATGTTTTATAAGTAATTTCAGTTATACTCTCTAAACTTTCCAGATAGCTCTAAGAACAATTTTTGAAATTTTCATAATTTTTAAGTCTATAAATTACAAACATGAGTACAGTAACTAATGATAATTCTATATATAAACACAAAAATCAAATTCATATTTGAACCACCTTATGGCAATCTATAGATGTGAAATAATAAAACTGTAAAAACTCATGAGTCTCAAAGAATATACGTGAACAATTTTTATACTATTAAGTTACCACCAGCAATTTCCAAGTCTTTAAGCTTCATCTAAATGTATATTTATGTATACATTATTGTTGTTTATTTATTTAATAACTTTATAGGTATGGATTTGTAGTTTATGTATTCTTAGCTTATTTTTACATAGTTGACAACTGAATGATTTAAGATGAAAATTCAATTGATTATAATATAGAATAGGTATTAAAAAACATTAAACTATTTGTATAGGTGTTTGGAAGGAAGTGTGATAGTGAATATGAAATGACCCTGTTTATTATTAATAAATGATAATTATTAAGTCCAATGTCCAATTACATAGGTATGTTACTTAAACTCATTAAAATTATTTTGTATTATTACTGTACATTTGAATCATTATTTTACAAACTAAAATACAGTGTTTAAACTTAATGTACAAATTATCAATTTCCAAAACTGATTACAAAATTAAAAAATACCTACTGCGCAATATAATACATAGAGTAAATTGTATTATAAAGTCCAATTAATTTATAATCTTCCAATTAAAAATTGTTATGTAAATACTTAATTTATATATACTTTACTATCTAGAAGTGATCTATATTCCAGTTGTGATATCAGTGGCTCATCTCGAGTCTTTATGTTAAACCTAATTATATTATCATTTAAGTTTATTTAAAAAAGTTTTTTAGTTAATTTAAATCAACAAAAAATACTATAATAATTTAAACTAATAGTGATTTACACAGATCAAAAAAATAAATAAATATATAGTTATATTATTACTTATTACATTTAGTAATTACCAATTACCAATAGAAATAAAAATAAAATGTATTATGATCTTTAATCAGGATTTAATATTTTATTTAGGTAGGTCAAAAGTGATTTATTTTTAGATTATTTATTAGAATGAGTGAATAACTAGAAAATTCAGTTTTTAGAAAATAATTATCTAATGGGTAGGTGGTAATAGGTATACCTAATGAATTATATGTTCATAAATAATATTATTTGCGCAGAATACTTTAGAGCTTATCGTTAAATATCAATAATTAGTTTAAACTTTAAATATTATACTATATCAAATTATAGCTCATAGGATATACTGTAACAATGTATTTAAATGTATTTTAACAATTCAATTATATTATAATAGATGATCAATGGTCAAGTAATTTATCACGTGGTCATTAATAAATAATAATCAATCTGATTAAATGGTACCTACTAAAATAATAACAACTAATTTGATTGGTAAAAATAAAAATAGTGGGGCATAGAGTTTCCTATAAAATCAGAGTTTTAAAAGATCGATAGACTCGAAGCAGTTATTGTTGCACTCGAAGAACAATTTCAACAATTACGTTTTGAAAATCAGCTTTTATATTGTAATTCGTGTTTATATTTGAAACAATGCGTCTCGGTGAGTACAATTTATATTTATTTTTATATATATATATTTAATTTTAAACTATATAATATGTCTATATATATCTATGTATTTATAATTATACATGTATATTGTATATTTATATTTTTATGAATTATTAAAAATAATTTTTGATATCCCTTACATATACAATTCAGTAAAATAAAGTATAATTAATATTACATATACGATTAATTGAACAATAATTTTAGGATTGTTCTATATAGGTAGGTACTTATTGGAACGGAACCAAACAATCTTAATGTTTTTTGATTATAATTAAATTAAATGATAAAAATATATTTTTCATGAGTTTATTAATTAGCAAATATTTCTGAAGTTTATATAATACAATGCTTAACATATATAGAAATATTATAGAAATAGTACAAATTGCATTTACGGTCATAGAAAATTGTATATTTTATTTTGTATCTAAATTATTAACATTTGTGTTAAATTAAATTTTAAAGAAAATAAAAAATCAGTGGCTATCGTTGGTTGTGGAGCAGCTGGATTAGCAGCTCTTAAACACTTTACAACTGAAGGATCTCCGTTTACATGTGTGTCTTATGAGCAGACTGATAATGTTGGTGGCACTTGGGTATACACTGACAGAGTAGGCAAGGACAAATATGGCTTACCAGTTCATTCGAGCATGTACAAAAGTTTAAGGTATTTGATAGGTATTTATTAAAAGTATTCATATTTTTAATGAAAATTATTTTTTTTTCAGGACAAATTTGCCTAAAGAAATTATGGAACTTCCGGGATTTCCACATAAAGGTCCTGAAGACAAATCATATGTGGCAGCCAATGAAATGCTAAAATACTTGGAAGACTATGCAGATCATTTTGACTTAAGGAAACATATCAAGGTAATAACTAATAATATTTATAGATAGATATATTGTGAATAATTACTTATATACAATTTTCATTAAAGTTTCATCACCACGTAAAAGAAATAAGTCCTTTAGCAGGAGATCGTTGGCGTGTAACAGTAATTGATTTGCAAGAAAATATTGTGGAAACATTAGAATTTGATGGAGTTGTTATTTGTATTGGGTAATTTATAAATAATTTTTCTTCAACTCTATTTATTTTTTTAATTATTTATTACTAACTTTTTTTAATGTTACAGTAATTACAGTAATCCTGCTATTCCCGAGGTTCCTGGAATAGAGAAATTTTGTGGAATGAAAATTCATAGCCATGATTACAGAGATTCTTCAGTATTTAAGAATAAAAGTACTGTGGTAATTGGTTGTGGTCCCTCGGGATTAGATATATCATTTGATATTGCAAAAGTAGCAAAAAAAGTAATAAAAATAAATAAATATTTATTCTATCATTTCATTTCATACATTAATAAAAATGATAAATATTTTAGGTTTATTTGAGTCACCACAATCAGCGTGTTAAAAATATGAAGGTTCCATCAAATATGGTTCAGAAAGTTGATATTAAAGAAGTAGTAGAAAATGGAATAGTTTTTCATGATGGATCTTATGAACAAGTTGATTCAATTCTATATTGTACAGGTAAGAAAATTCTACTTAAAAAATATAACTAATAATATCATGTATAATGAAATAAATAAAAAATATTAGCTATTAAAATTAATTTTAATTATTTTGTTTTAGAAAAATAAAGAAATTGGCCTACTATGGCTATAAAGACATTTTATGGCCTTTTTTGGCACATATCATCAAAACGTTCATGTTACTATACTGGATTTTCTTCATTTGAATGACCTTTCAAAGGTCTAGAATTAATAAGATATTATTTTTAGTTATTTTATTTTTATTTCTAATCTTAAATTAATTTATACATATAATTTTATTTTAACATTTACTTTCAAATTATTTATTTACTTAATTTTGAGCAGGATACAACTATAAGTATCCATTCCTGAGCCCAGAATGTGGTATTCGTGTAGAGAACAATCATGTAAAGCCACTTTTTAAGCATATATTGAACATTGAACACCCTACAATGTACTTCATTGGAATTCCAACCAACACTGCTGGTTTCTGTATGATTGATTTACAGGTAATTGTACAAACTGTATATTGGAATTCCAATATTTGTAAACCTCATCAAATAAAATAAAAAATATGTCGTAATATGTTAAATACTTTAATTTATCAATAACTGGATTTTATTTATAGGTACAATTTGCTAAAACATTTTTAGAAGGGCGAGCAAAATTACCTAGTAAGGAAGAAATGATTGAGGATACACGTCAAGATGTTGAGTCTAGATTAGCAAGTGGATTGCGACCTAAAGAACTACACATGATGGGTCGTAGGTCAAAAGATTATTACGATTCACTGGCATCTTTATCGGGACTGGAATCAGTGTCACCTGTTGTTCTACAAATCTATTTTGATGGGATTGACAGATTTATGTGTGATTTCTCACACTTTAGAGAAGACAAGTATAAATTGTTGGATAAAGATCATTATATGGTTAAATTTCCAAATGAAGAAGAACCAGTAATGAGGAGACAAGAGATTGTTGTAGATTAAGTTTTTGTTTATAGCTTGATTACGATTTAGTTATGAACACATTCATTGTCTATACAAATGCGGGATATAGCAATAGAAATGTTATTAAACTATTTATTTAAGTTAAGTAGTTTTATATTAATTGAACTGATTTGTATTAAATTTGTATTTAATATTTTGTACTAGTTATATGTTTGTTATTATTATTTTTAATTATAATTAATTTTTTTTACAAGTAAAACTGTACTGTTTTTAATATTAGGGAATCCTGATAACATTTATAAGAAATATTTTAAAATGAATACTATATCGTCTATGTAAATGACTCCAGCCCATCATTATACAAAATCAATTATCCAAAAACTTGTTTTAAAAATATAAAACAAATTATTAGAGTAATAACACAACAACTTAGCAAAATGAAAAATTCCATAAACTTACGGTTATTAATACTTTTTAGTGAAATAATATTTATCTTTAAACAATTTCAAATATATGTACTCATATAAAATATATATTTTATAAATTTGTGCATTTTGATTAACACACTGCTTCAACAAAGTGGTAATTTGAAAGGGTAAGATTAAAAATCGCTTAATATTTTTGTTAAAATATTTAACGACATTAAATGAGAATAATTGTAATGACAATATGACATTTAGGTAGCATATGCCTACTCTCTGTGGAAATAAATTATTTAAAAAAAATTGATCGACTTGTATATAAATAATTACCCCAGGTAAGGAAAAGAATAACTGTATTAATTATTTATTTTCCTTCATTAATGACATTTTATTAGTAAAAAATCATAAGTAAATTAATAAATATTATTTAAATAGGTATAGAAAAATATTGTGATGGTTTTGTATGTATATTTTTTAGTTGACTAACCTAACTTATTGACTTATTATTTTATGAAATACAATATTTGTAAATAGTGTTACTGAAATAACATTTTTTAAACAATTAGGTGTTGAAAATGCGTAGGTAGGCAATTATATTTAATTAAAATAAGCTTCGTCTTAAATATAAATTATTACAATTTATTGATAAACTATCCGTTGCTCGTACAAAATGCATCCGTGTTAAATTTAGTTGTCTAATGCAAACATTTAGCGTACCTACCTGATGCCATATTATACCTTTTACTAGTATAAGGGCGTATGAACAAATAATATTTTTGGTTTCTGATATATCAACTTTGAACTTCACGTAGCTGGTCCTGTCCAGCATTTGCTTTTTTGACCATTTAGAGGCAGTATTTTTCTTAAATTATTTTTCATTTTTTATTGAACGACTCAAATTTGATTTATTTTTCAATCTAGACAAAACACCAACAGCTCAAAAAATGTCAATAGTGTAAACCGAAAATAACGAAAAAGTTTTACACTATTACAATAATATATATTATAAAATCAATAATGCATCAACTAAAATACTAATTTATTACAATAACCAATAATTAGTAAATAGTAAGTAACACTAATGAAAAATAAATAAATATCTTTGGTTGTATTAGCTGATTAATTAAAAAACTATATTACTAGATTTTTTATTAACTTATATAGAATCAGAAATAGACTTAAAAACTGTTTTGCAGCATACTCTTTCATTAAAAAAAAAATCATCAAAATAATTTTAATAATTAGATGAATAGTATTAGAGAACAACTAGGGGTGTCAAAGATTTTCATTTTCACATTTGTATACATTATACATAGAAAAATATATTTTTTTAATAATACTATTGAGTAACCTCATATAATACAATAGGTATCTTAAAGTGAGCTATGAATGTATACAGTTTAAAAAACAGTGCCTTTTAAAATTTGGGTGCGCGCGTGAGGTACATGCCCTGCACACCTGGTAGTGTATTGCGGCACTTATAACTTATAGTATTATGTTACATAATACATAATTTATGTACCTACAACAGTAGCGTACTTATGTTATAACTTATAACGTTATAATAATTAAAACATAATTTTTTATTATTTATAAACATTTAAATATTATTTTATAAGTATTCTAGTTAGTATACCCTTTTATGAGCCAAGAGTTTAGAATAATTATTTATAAATACCTATTACTATTAATATAAATAATAAGTACCTACATCTATAGAATGTTCTAGACGAAATGTTTGTAAAAGGTCAATTAGTTATATCCGTAGACCGTACCTAGTATAAAATATTATAATACACTAGGAGGTATGTTCACTTAATTACCCATGTCCTATTTTATCAAAGAAATCATTTTCATTGAAAATACAAATAAGCAAAATCAATAATAAGTAGGCAATAATTAATATTATTGTTTAATAGGTAATATTTATACATTTATTTAAAATAACTTAATAAATCTCATAGTTGTTGCCAGCATCCAAAATACTTAATAGTTAATATGATGTAATTATTGAATTTAACAAGATTAATAAACGATAAAGCTACATAGTATATTTATAGGCTATAATATAATAACAGTCTTAACTTATAAATCTATAATTTTCATATTTCGTGTCGGAATCTAGGAAGTAAAAAACGAGAAGGTAAAAACGACAAAGTAAAAAACGTCAAATGTGTTTTTACTTAAATATCACGTATAATCTTAAAGTCAATTATCAAGTTAAAATATCGAAAATTTAATGTTTAAAACCTAGTGATTATTATCATTATACTGTAATGACCCTGACATAGTTTTCTGAATATTTCCGATATATTTACTCACTCAATCATCAATGCCCAGACAAAACTACTAAACCTAGAGGCTTATATTTTGGAGGTATAAATCTTTAATGGAGTAGGAATGAGATAAGATAGAATTTCATTTCAACCCTATACTTATATAAGGGGTGAATAGTAGGTAACCTAACCTTGTATTGATATCTACGGAATTTCAAAAGCTTTTTATTAGATTTTTATTTCCAAAGCTGATCTATGAAAATACCTAAATATTAATTTCTGGATTTTATTCTAATCAACCCCTATAATTATATTTCATATTATTAAGATAATCAACTAAAAACCATAAATTAATAGTTAATATTTATATGTATAAACGAATATAAGATACAGGAGTATTCATAATTTTCTTAACTCGGGTACATAACATAAATGTCAAAGGTTCAAAAATGATTCATCATTTTAGATGAGTATACTACTTATATATGAGCATGCATATATAGTAAAACCTGGGCCTCAACAAGATGAAAACATTTTGAATCGCTTCCGAATAGAGCATACATTTACAACACACAATCACCTCATAGCCAGAATTAACCTTCTATATTTAAATCATGTGGAAGGCGGAACAGATTTCACAGTCAAACACATATTAACAGAAAGCCTCAAGTACGAAGAATCAAGAAATAACCACCAGATATCCCATATTCTAGAAGAAGTCCTTCAACCTGACCTTCAATCAAATATACATTATCAATTTTTTAAAATAAATCAAATTATACAACTTAAATAAGCCTTAATTTAACTATGAGCACGGCTAAAACATTAAAAATAGAAATATTAGAAATCATAATAAATTATCTTTGAATGAGACACACAAAATTATCCAACAGATTTCTTATAGCTAAAAAGACACGTCCCTCTATAGTCTATACGCATAAGTGGAAAGATCTATGCAAATATTTATTGTGGTGTTACCTTTACTAATAAACTTAAACAGATATTAATCAGATGCCACTGATACTAAACTGACTGACTCAAGTACTTATTTAACTTTAAGATTCCTGATAATCTCTAAACTTCTCTCATTCACATATAGACACAACTACTTCAACTTGCAACATAACTAATATTTTCACTTGCATTTGTATTAAAATATTAAAAAAAGTTGTTGACAAAACACAAAATAAATTATTATTTTTGAATTTTTAATAACAGTTTGTTGAATAAAATAAATTAAACCATTTTTATCTACTAATTATTTTTCTACGATACTACATTATATGTTTGTTAAGTGCAAGACAATATTAATTGCGCTCTCCTAATGGAGAAATATTAATTTATAATATTTACAAAACATTTATAACTTATAAAGTATGTATTAAAAACAATTGTTTGATAATAGATATAGGCTGAGACAATTACATAGATACTCTTTAGTCTTCAAATCTACATTATTATGTATGTGAAGAGTAAAGAATTATATATTTTACATTATTTAAAATACTTTAGGTACCTTCTTAAATTTAAAATAAAAATAAATTAAGCAAATTGTTTTATTTTGAAAAGCATATCATTAATCGTATAAGAGCTTAACAGCGTGTATATTTTATAATTTAGTGTATTTTTATAACAGAAAAAAAATCTTAGTTTAAATTATTATGCTAACACCTATATTGTTCAAATGAATATATATGCCTGCGTAATGAGTATATTATTATTATTATCATGTTTCAACACGTGGTCACACCACTTGTCTGCATGTTTTTTTAATAGTCGTGATTTAAAAGATAGTACTTTTAAATTAGTTTAACCGGAAAGTACCTACCTACATTTCAAAGAAGATGTTAACAATCACGTGATAGAAGCCAAGCTTGTACTGGCGTAATAATAATCGGTGTATAGAAATCGAATGGATATTAATATATTTTTACGATAAATCACAAGTGATTACGTCTACTATAAAACATTTGATATAAACTACTCGAAAAATAATTTACGTTAAATGTTTTCACCAGTTTTGATTTTGTATTGTGGATTCCCTAACTGACATTTTATTACACGTGGTAGACAATAATACATTGATTAAAAAAATTATGATGCAAACCGGTAAGTTTGAACACTAATTATTTTATTTTCTTGTATTTGAAATTAATTACTAACCTGTTTAATACTATGCATAATTAATAATTATCGTGTATTAGTATTCTTATCAATCTTATCTTATATTTTATTTATTCAAAACTCTTATTTGCTTGTAATTGGAATTTATTTTGAACTTCGTACGATTATTAACGGCTAACATTAGGGTCAAACATCATAGTGTAGTAATTCAATAATATAGCTAATGGGTGTCCAAATACTATACACAATACACATATTACTCATATTAGGTATATTGTATAGGTTTGCTTACTACTAAGCATGAGTTAAACAAATTTTTTATTATATTTTTAAATGTGCATCAATATATTTCAATATAAATGAATATTGATATACCTACTTTCATTCGTTTTCCACTCCCAGTATGATCTAATATATTAAACCAATTACTATTAACTACTTTCTTAGTTAGGCATTTTTAAGTTAAAGTAGGTAATTTTAACTATTATGATATCACGTGATAGCTTTGATTTGTACAATTATAAGAGGTAACAGTTATTGAGAACTCTGACTATCTAAATACTAAACATATATTAATAGATACTGAGTTTCTAGTGCATGTACTGATTTTTATATAGATGATTTCCAAACACCACAATAGGTATATCAGTGCTTTAATTGGTAAAATAAAATTAGGACTCTGCTTAATTTAAAAAAAAATACGTATCTATCATACATTTTATACGTTGTTAAACTGTGGTGAGCTACGCTCCCCCTCAAATAATCCTCTTTCATTGTATGCTAAAATATTTAGAAATAATTAATTTAAATTTTAAAACATAAAAAATAAAATATATTACAAAAAAAATTCGTTGATAATTATTATATAGTTATGTAATATGATTATTAATAATATTCATAAACAATTTCTAAAAACTATGATAATTTGTTGTTTTTGAGTAGAGAGACAAAAATATGATTTTACAATGATATGTATGTAAATGGATTTTTTGTTATAGTTAAAAAGCAAATAACCATAGATTTTTTAAACTTTGAAGTTTTTTATAGTAAATATTTATTTTTATTTTATACAACAAATTGGGACAAGTTAAAAAAAAAAAAATGATGTAATTGTGAACATAGTTAGGTTATTAATATACAAATAAAAAATACTTAAATTTATAAGTTAAAGTGAAAAAGAGATTGTGGTTACTGGTTAGTAGTGTACATTAGATGAAGGCTTGCAAAATTGTTAAGATAATTGACTGGAATTGAAAAGCGGAGTATAGAACAATGATGTGAACGGGTAGAACATTAAAGTTAGAATATTGGAATTAATAAGAGCTAAGAGTATGGAAGAGAGTTGGCGATCAGCAAGATTCGAGAAGATAGAAGAAGTTTTGAGCTTATAGGTAGTTAGTATTAGAGTAAGGTTCTTATTTTGTATTTATAGTTAAACTTAAGACTATACTCATATAACACAATTAAATGTTCCAAGCTTTATAAATGTAATATATTATATTGATTTTTGTTTTTGTTTAAAATAATGTTACAAGAAATTAATGTTTTTTTGATATCCCATTTTAATAATTTAAAATTTAAGACAAAAAACATATTTTACTTAAAATATTAAGAATTAAGTACTTGTAATTTATAACAGTCTATATAATAACTTTAAGTTCCCTGTAGTAATACTTAGTTCATGTGTATATTGTAGCTAGGTAAATAGTTAATAGGTAATAGCGATTAATATAGGACATTATTTTAGCGATTTAGCGGATAATGATAACCGATAGGTGTTATTGGTAACTGGTAAGCTACTGAAATAGGTAGTGTTTATTCATTAAAATGATGACGTTAATATTAGATGCATTAAGACATTCGTCACTGATTACGTTTTGTTTACTAATAATTTATATATGTTGCGGATAACTTCACAAATAAACAGAGAAAATAAATTACGTATCAATAAAATTGAATGTATGCCAACAAAGAAGGTGATTTTAAATAAAACCAATAAACGTCCTCATTTGGATTATTGATATTAGGTACCTACTACATAAAATTAATAGTAAAAAAGTTGAAAAATGTAAATAATGTTTTAGGAATTGTTATAATGAATGCGTACGTCAAAGTTCCAATCTTATCTGTCTTAAGAATATATTTCAACAAACACCATTATATAACTCAAAGACGTTACCACCATAGTCTAATACAAGGTAGGCAATTTTTATTATATTTATTAAACTGGGAAGGAGTGAACGGGGATAACAAAATATTATGTATAGCAGTGATGGCCAACCCGTGATCCGCTGGTCAAATCCGTTATACGAATAATTTTATAGTCTGCGAGATTTTTCACGCTTTTAAAAAATATATTTTTTTTTATTATTTTTTTTTTTTTTTGTATTTGGTCCAAATTTAGTACGAGAAGATATATTTTTGTATTCGGTCAATTGGATATAATCCATTTCCAATGTGGCCTACAAGAAATATAATTTGGTTTGGTTACTTATTCTACTATATAAGAAATAGGAATGACGTTCTAAACATATGTATAATAGGTTTATTTAAGGGATTCCTTCATTTATATATGAAATAATTAATTTGTGAAAAATGATAATATTTATTAGACTTCGCTCATAAAAAAATAAAAATAAAAAAAAAACGTAGAAGAAATAATATATTCCTAATTTCCCACTATAGATACGTCACTAATATAACACATATTATATAGTTGTAGTACAAACTATAATGGACTTATCATTGCTCATAATTAATCACGTAACAATATGTTTATGAATAAACCTCTCACAGCGCATAGGTACTCTCTTAAGTCTTTTTTTAATAGGTGATTAAGAAATCCATTCAATATCTGTTGATGAAAAGTGAAAGTCTATAGTATCAATAAAACTAAGTAGTTAAGTATGGTTGTAGATTATGAGTCACTACTTGGCACTTTTTGAAACATATATAAGTAAGATAATGTTTAAATTTTGTCTTTATTGTTGCGTACCAAGACTGCCAATCATTCGTTTATGGCACAAAGGCATTTTATGAATACTATTTATGATTGTTTCAATATAAAATTATATTTATTAAACATCTGATAATTATTATTACAAAATATTTAAATATAAAAAAAATTACAATGATTGGTAACAGCTTTGGTTTCTATAAATTGTTTATTGTATAATTGTTTTATATAAATAGCCAAATTATTGTTATCTTAAGGTGCATCGTATAACGTATTAAATAATAATATTAAACTGCAATTAAACGTAGGTACACAGTACACATCTATATTTTGTTGTGATTTTAATCAGTTTTTTTTAATACTTACAGTGTATATATTTATTCGATAGTTTAATGTTAATTGGGTAAAGACATGAATGAGTTATACAGTGAAAACTGTGTAATGCGGACCCTAAATAAAATAGAAAACTATCCAATACGGAATTTTTTTTTGGTCCCGGCATGTTCCTATAGTTTTATATAGACATTGAACGGACATGGCCGTTTTCAACCAAAAACGTACCTTTCTCTTTTCAATCGATTCCCTTTTCAACCAAATTAAAAAAAAAAAAAACACCGATTCCCTTTTCGACCAAAATAAAATTGTATATAATATATATAAAAAAAATAAAATAATTGGTATGTAATTTTTGTAAAAGGCAATTATATAATTATATAATTTTGAAAATGATTAAAAGTATAAAATGCATAAAATGTTGTAAAATTAAATGTATAAAATTATTTAAAATATAAATTATATATATTAACATCATTTTTATGTTAATATGTCACAATATGTAATATGTATAATATTATATAAAAAAATAAAATTTAAACCACAGAAGTAGGTTTGTGACATATTTGATATTAATATAAAAATGATTTTAACATATATATTCTTATATTTTAAATAATTTTTCACATTTTATTTTACAAAATTTTATGCAAATTTTTTAATCATTTTCAAAATTATATAATTATACAATTGTATTAATTTTACAAAAAATTATATAAAGGTACTTACCAATTATTTTATTTTTTTATATAATACATAAAATTTTGTTTTGGCCGAAAAGAGAAGAGTAAGATTTTGGTCGAAAAATTAATCGGCCAAAAAAAAGAGGATACGTTTTTGATCGAAAACGGTTTCGTCCACGTTGAACTTCAATAAAACGGAACCTCCCTAACGAGAAACGGAATGGTTTTTTAGGTCCAAAGCGAGTAAAAACCTTGCATAAGCCAAAAATAGAACACGCGTCGTGTTACATTGATATGAATATGTAGGTTGTAGGTATATCGTAAAACGATAATTAAGATAAAACTGCACTACATATATTAGTTACGTAATTTGTATTTTTTGGTTATCGTACCTGTGATACAACTTATGTATGTATAATGTATAGCTGTGAAACAGTTATGCACTAACAGTCTTACACTGAAAAATATGCTTGTACATACTAAGTGATGTCCATTTAAATACATATTATAATATTGAAAAATAGCACTAACAGTGACAAAACAAAAACTCTACATGATTTTTGGAAAAGCTAAATGTTTAAATTTAATTCCCAACCTTCATACTTATATAATACGAGTATGTATAAATTGTTATTAGTTTCGTAAGAAAATAAGCCAATAATTATTCTAAAATAAGTTTTATAAAGTAAAGTAATAAATTAAGTTTATAATTAGTCTCTCAAAAAATAAAAATTATAAGTATTGCAAACTAATTTTTTAACGTGAAAATCTGATACGAATTTATAATCCGGAATTTTTCAGTTTTATTCAATAAAGCGGAAAACTGCTTAAAGCGAAAATTTTGAATGATCCCATGCTATTCCGCATTAAACAGTTTTCACTGTATATAATATATATATATGTAAGCACATTATTGTTGTACAAATAACGTATAGCTATAAATATAGTAGGGATGGAAATAATTTTATCATTAGAAAGGTATTGTGAAATAGATTTTCACAAAAAAAAAAAAATTATTTATACATATTATTATGACGTTGTAGTAAGTAAATACAAAAATAGGAATACATTAGTCTAGTAAAATAAAAATAAAATGTTTTATAAAAGTCAGGTAATACGAAAATTAAAAACCAATAATCTAACCATTCTAACCTATTTATAATAAAATGATTAATTATTGTTTGTTATTCAAATTTACAACAAAAATCAACGTCCATAAATAATTATAGCTTATAAATTCAATAAATAAAATGCGAAATAGGTAGGTACCAATAACGCCACACAAATATAAAAGGAGGCGAAGTTTAAACACCGTTACTGAATTATATGTGCAATTAGAAACGGAAGATGTTAGAGCGTGTTGATTTTACGATTCAAACAGTTTTATGATCGAATTTAGATTAATAAACAATACTATAGTGTTATATTTATTTTATACATATTACGTATGTGTTAATACTGTACCTACTTATAGTATTTGTTATTTAATTTAAAATATTGTAAACAATTAAAAATAATATGTTACTCTAAGTATGATTCAGTTACATTTATTTTAAACATCGTAATAATAGTAGATATTCAGTAATTTAATACAGAAACAAGTTAGTAAACATAATTATGAATGACGCACGTAAAGCGTATACCTATTATAAAGATCATACGAGAAAAATTACATAACATAAATAAACACTGAGATTTATAAACATATAGGTATCTAATTTATACTTATTATTGCATCACATTGATTCTATATCACCTCCGTTTAAAATATTAGTAGGTATATAGTATAATACTATATAGTGCTATGTTGTAGAAACACTAGAAACTTAATTAACTATATAAAAATGAAAAGTAAATAGACGTTTCTTCCTATAGTTTTGGCTGCGGCAAGATCATATCCCGTTTCGTTACCTGTGTTCATTTCCCAAATTATTTTTATATTACTCAGTTATCGATTAGGTATTGACTTGTGTACAACGTACATACAATAAAATATAATATAACCTAGTTATATTATATACATCTTAAAATAAATGCAATTATTTATAATGATAGTTATTTTCATAGTTAAAATATTTTTTAATATAAAGTATAAGTGCAATTAGTTTTGACAATAGGAATGCTTATACAAGATTCAACACATACCATTTTGTGTGTATACAAATTTGAATAATTTTGACTTATTATAAACTATAATGAAAAATTCTAATTGTCTTATCGATTTTTAATTTTATTTTTAATTGTTTTTACAGTAGCGTGTTCAGAGGGGAGCATCAGCCCCCCCCCCCCCCCAAAAAAAAAGATATATTATTGGGCTAAGCTTTTTTATTTTATTTTTTTTTTTTTGGTAAACCACCGATGTGTAAAAATTGATCAGCCCTCTCCCACCCTCAGTAAAAAATCCTGACTTTGCCACTGTATTTTTACTTATGATTTTGCTATATTTATCTAATTACGTAAATAATTTTGTATTACATTTAGTTGACTGAAACCTATTTAATAGGTAATATAATTTCTTTGTTATTTTATTTTTTTAATATAAAAACAATCTGTACATCATAGCACATAACGTAATTTTTATATTATATAAACATGACATTGAAGACATTTTTAGGAACCACCCATTGATAACCACCTACTTCCATTAAGTAATTGAATTTACAATCACTAGCGTATTAAATCACGATTCTAATTTTGTTTAAGTCTATGAAAAAGGATTTATTAGGGATGTATAATTTAGTCATATTTTTAATGAAGGGATTAGTAGGTACTTGAATTAAGTTTAGGATGGAACAATTGAATAAAGTTTAACGAAGTCTTAAACATTTTTAATTTGTAAGTCTTTATGAAATAAGTAGTTAGAAATTTGGTCCACGTGGATTATGGGGCACAAGTCAGAGTTTGGAGAGCTATATTTTGAAAAATTGGATATGAACGAATGTTGGAGAGTTTGGCCGGCCTCCAAATATGTATGACATGTGTATCTGACCACTATATTATAATATTATAACATTTTAGTTTTAAGATTGAGTTTAGACTTTAGGAGGAACCAAAAGAGATGAAATTTAGCAAATTTCCTTATATTTCTTAACTAAAAAAAATAATCATAGAAATTAGACGGAAACAAAATGAAACGTTGGCGAAATGGAAACAGACCCTCTGACAAAAATTAAAATAAAACATTTATGTAATATAAATCGGCTAATTTAATAACATTCTAAATAATAACCATAATTTTAATAGATATATTGTACATATTATTACAACGATAAAAATCTATGGGCTGATTATAAATATGAGTAAGCTAGCAGTGCACATTTTAGTTGTTTAATAGTGCCATAATAATATGATGTATGTTTATATTTTTAAACAGAAATACTTACTCAATACTTAAAAATTGAATAGGTATTATATGAACGTCAAATTTTAAATCGAATGTTAATAAACAACTTTGGTTTTTGAGTTTTCCTAATTACTTCCAGTCTTATTTTTAAATATGATAGTGTGATGCGCAAATGATTTATAATACATTTAGTATATATATATTATATATATGTATATATATATAAATATATACAATTTGGTGTATGAAAAATGTGCGATATTCAAACGATCACGATTTATAATGCAAAATTTGAATAAACCGGAACTGTTTTACAAAAAGTTTAGAATGAACAATAGTGATGGATAATACAATAAAGCAAGCCCAGATTTAGATAATTTAGGATCCGGGGCCAAACAATTTTAAGGAACTATAGCCATCATAAAAATATTTAAAAAACAAAACAAAAAAAATTTATTATTCGTCAAGGGCCTACTATTGTTTAATATCCGTTGTGGGCCCGGAGCTATGGCCCTTCTGCCCTCTTAATCCGAGCTTACAATTAAGTAAGATCATTGAAATTTAGCTAGCATACGAGTATTACATACGGCATCCTGCCTATACCCGTTTTACGGACTAAGTCAAATCTTTATAAAATTAGTGCATTTTTAAAATATTAAATTCAAACTTATAATTTTTACTATTATTTTTATAAAAAATTTAACTTGACTAAGAAATAATGAACTACCTATAATTGAATTAATTTCCAAACTTATTCTACATTATTATTTTCTTACTATTTAAATATTATAAAAACCTCTTTAAGAAAAATAGTTTGCGGAGTTTATCATTTCCTGTGAATATTAATGGTTAGCAGGATATTTGATCCTCAGCGTGTATTAACTATATATGAGTTTGGTATTAGAGTTTCTTAATACCTACGAGTATTACTTACTTAATAATATATTGTGAGGTCAAAGTTGAGTAACATATCGTGTTATTGTAGTTACCGACTTATTTAGAAATTGTTTGTCTTTGAAAAATATAATAGATAATCTAGTACATAGGTATTTTAAAGTGTCGGTTGTTCGAGTTTTTGTTTGAAATGAAAAATACGGGTGCAACACGATTGCGAATATAGTTGCTAATCAAAAAAATTTGTTTTTTAGCCGAAAAACGAACGATTACGAACGTTTTTATAGGCTACGTTATCAAGCTTATAATATCTGAATAATGTTTTATTTTGTTCGGGAATTCAACCAAAAAATTTTTTTTAAAGAAACACTATTGATACATATTAATAATATAATGTTACATTATAACTACGTTACAAACTAAAATAAAATTATGTATAAAAAAATGTTGATTAGTTAAAAAAATAATTTCGGAGTATAAATATTAATAATAATTTTACATAATGTATAATACGTTAAAAAATTTAAAAAAATACAAAATAATAGTTTTTTCTATATTTTTCTTTTTTTTTAAATTTTTTTCTTAGTAGGAATTTTCAGTTTTCCGTAAATATAAAATTAGATTCTTGTGGACTTTATAATCATTATAACTTTTTAATGTTAATTCAATTTTAGATTTATCTTTTTTGGTCATGGGATTATTTAAATTGTTTTTAATAGAATTAATTATTGTCATAGTTCGTGCATATTGTTTATTATTATAAATAAGTTAGTATCTATTCTACATCGTACCTATTTATCGCTCGGCGTTTATTTGATTATTTTAAAAATTATTATTTAAAAATTTATTATTGGCTAATAACAAATCTGGCAATAATGCACGATTAAAGACAGGTAAAAACGTTCATAATTGTGTTACTGGAAAAGGTCAATTCGAAATTGTATATTACTCAAAAATATATTGATTAAAAAAATAGGTCCATGAAAATGTAATTGAAACGATATCAAAAACATGAAAAAGTATTTATATCGATCAAAATAAAAAGACAAATGGGTCTTATTAGCCTTATTTGTTTAGATCTATAATATAATATTAATTAAAACGTTACGAATCATATTTTTATATAGCTATAGCAGGTACCAGATGTGATGATTCCGCGAACTCATGTCTCATTATAACACGTGAAATGATGATCACTTTGTTCATATCGATACTACACGGGATGTAATCATCTATTAAAATACATACAGAGTGATTCTATTATTTAAGGTAGACTCATTTTTTCGAACAGCGTATATTAATTTATTTGGAAATAGTTTTTTTATTTATACTTTATTTATTACAAATGTATAAGATAACTTTTTTTATCTTAATCAAATTTTAAGTTCTTAATTTTTTTAAATGACAGGTTACATTTTTGATTATGGTTTCCATAGCAGAAAAGTTTTCTAAAAATTAGGTGTTATAGGAGTTTGTGTTGTTTAAATTTTAAATGAGGAATTTTAATAATAGTTAATTAGTTATACCATAAATTTTTAAACTTTAAAGTAAATTTATACGAGTAGAGCAGGGGTCTCCAACCTACGGCCCGCCAAGCTTTTTGCACCGGCCCGCCAAGCTAATTGCTAATTAATGTTTTGAAAATAATATATTAATTTTCATTGTTTTTAATTTATTTTTTATTAAATTGATTAATAAATTAAAAAATTATATAAATAAACATACATTTTTTTAAATAAATCTCATCTATTCTTATTTACTTCTCAATTTCATAACCTATCAGATATTCCTAGAACCCTAGATAGACAACATTTTTTTTTTTTTTTAGACAACACATTTCTAAAAATGTTGGCCCGCGATGCCAAAGCGTATATCAAATTTGGCCCGCCGTAAAAAAAGGTTGGAGACCCCTGGAGTAGAGCATTTGGTTGATAGTACATTTTTGGTGTACCAATCTATCTAAATTTGCCAATGTCACACATAAACATTTTCAGAAAAAACTTCTGCTATGGTCTTGAAAATATATTTTAAATTGCTTATTCAAAAAAGTAAGCAATTTATAAACGATAACGAAGAAAAATAGTAGGAAATATGGAGTCTTTTTAAAAATGTTGTTTTGTAATGCCTACCTACACAAGTATGAACTTATGAAATAAATTTTTTTCAAAATATAATAGATACCTCTAATAATAACTTTTAAAATTTAAAAAAAAAAAATGTATATTTATCTTTAAAAGAATCACCTAGCACTCGGTATAATAATAACGTAGTTGGTAACTGATTAAATTACTATTTAGTCATTATAAGATCACTCACTTAATTTTTTTGCGCATTTGTAATCGGAAATAATAATTATCTCAAACCTTCCATGTGACGCAATGATGTCGTGTGACGCGTGTGCCCATCACAACCTAAATGATAAATAATACTTACCAATGAATTGACAAATGACAATCATTATCTATATATATAGGCTAGATTAAAATTTAAAAATAGTATTCTATAATATTCTACGACTATACGGCAGTAATACTTTAATATTTAAATATTAAAAACTTGATAACTTGAATTTTCCGTGATAATACCTATTAGAAGCCGGGACATAAATAGACTGAAGTAGAGGCGTACAATGAATATTATTATTATTGCATAAACATACGTAATAAAGTATATTATAATAATAAAAATCCTGTGCTACACAACAGAAAAATTATTTATCAATTCTATCACTGAACAATAAAAATGCTAGGTAGTAGGTATCTCAATATTATCCGTACTATTTTGTGTTATTAATTGTTATCAATTGTCACGCAATATCACGTTTGGATTTGACTGGTTTAATTCAACAAGTTTAAGTACTCAAGTGAATTAAATTGATAAAATTTTATTGTGTGATTTACAATTATTCGACTTTCGAGTGGCAATATTCTCGTTTCGTTTGTCAATTTGTTTGTCTAAATCGAACGCTCGTTGCCCGTGCACGTTGGACGCGTACCTTATACCTGTACCCTATATTTTTTTTCGGATTCAGTGCCTTTGGCACGTAGTGATTTAAAAAAAAAAACAACTGTAAACCATTATGTCTCCGTGTACTAAAGAAGCGAATAAAAAGACCATTGGCATCATTGGATGTGGGGCATCTGGTTTGGCGGCTCTGAAAAATTTTGCAGCCGAAGATTCACTGTTCAAATGTGTTGCGTTTGAACAGACTGCCAGCATAGGAGGTACATGGGTCTATACAGACGATATCGACCGAGATCAATATGGCTTACCAGTTCACTCCAGCATGTACAAAAGTTTGAGGTAAATGTGTGAATGAATCGTGATTATTAGATATCACGCTTGTCATATTATGTACTTATGATTCAACATTTGCATATACTATCAGGTCAAATTTGCCAAAAGAAATAATGGAGTTAAGTGGATTTCCGCATACAGGTGTTGGGGATGCTTGCTATTTTCCAGCTGCATACATACAGAAATATCTGAACGATTTTACTGATCATTTTAATTTAAGACCACATATTAAGGTAAGTCAAATAATATTGCTTGAAATTAAAAACGGTCCCATATTAATATTATCGTTATATTTTATGTTAAGTTTAATCATCATGTCGAAAAAGTAAGACCTATCAATGATAGCCAATGGGAAGTAAATGTTCTTGATTTAAAACAGCAGAGTAAAGAAACCTTCATCTTTGATGCATTGTTGATATGTGTTGGGTAAGTGATCATAAACATGTTAACAGTTTTTAACACAAATTAATTTTACAATATATTTTATTCTGTTCAGGCTTAAAAATTAACTGAAACACATTTTTGCCTTAATTAATTTGATTAAAATTTTCTTTATTTTTTACTTTTATTTTTCTAAAGAATTATATTTAATGTCACTATATTGATTAATACTATATATTATAAATTGTATACCTATTCTACACTATTATTAATTTAAAACTGTTGGGTATAATTTAATTATTTTATTATTATGCATTAAGTATGCACTATATATAATGTTTTATAATGCATTTCTGTTATATTTCATTATAACCAAAGTTAATTTAATTTAAAAATAAATAAATAAATGAGCTTTTGCAAAAATCAATAGCTTATAAAATATTTTGCATATTATAGTTTGTACTGTAATGTGATTTATATACTTAACCTTGTTTATATTCTAGTAACTATAGCAATCCTGCTATCCCAGATGTTAAGGGTTCCAACATATTTAGTGGAAAAATCATGCATAGTCATAGCTATAGAGATGCAGATATATTTAAAGGAAACTCAGTATTAGTTATAGGCTGTGGTGCATCTGGCTTAGATATATCATTTGGCGCATCAAAAGTAGCGGATAAGGTAATCTTTAAAATCATATTTAAGCTTACCTATTAATAATTTAAACATAATTTTAGGTTTTCTTGAGTCATCATAATCCTCGATTAATGAAATTGAAAATTCCATCTAATTATTTTCACAAGACTGATGTTAAAGAAATTGTTGAAGATGGTGTAATTTTTGAAGATGGTTCTTATGAAAAAATTGATACTATAGTATACTGTACAGGTAAGTTAAAAAAAATGTATTTTATCCTGTGTTACTTATTGATTTTATTTTTTAGGATATACATATAAATATCCATTTTTAAGTAGTGAATGTGGAATAAATGTTGAAAATAATGTTATTAAAAATCTTTTTAAACATATGATTAATATTGAATATCCAACGATGGGGTTTATTGGTGTACCTAGGAACACTACAGGATTTTACTTATTTGATTTTCAGGTAATTTAAGATAGTTTTTTTTTAATTGATGCGAGTAATTTATAAATATTTATTTTTTGTGATCATATATGTATTACTTAATCATATAATATTTTCAGTCTAAAATTTTTAAGAAGATTTTAGAAGGTGGTGTGAAACTGCCTAATAAAAAAGAAATGCTTCAAGATACTTATGATGAAATCGAGGCTCGATTGGCTAGTGGTCAGAGATTAAAGGATCTTCATGCATTAGGTAAAACGAAGTGGGCAATGCATTATTATACTTCTGTTTCAAAATTTGCCGGAGTAGAACACCCACCACCAGTGTTATTACAAATATATTTTGATGGTCTTGAAAGGCTTTCAGAAGATTTTTTGAACTTCAGAGGTGATAAATACCAAATTATTGATAAAGAACATTATAAGGTACAATATTTTGACCAAAATGAATCAATTATCAAGAAACAAATTTTGTATTCTTTTTAATACAATTATAACTTCAAATTATAGTTTGTTAAGTATTTGTTTTTAGAGTTTAAATTTGTTACATTGATTATTATAAATTTTATTATATCATATATTTTAGAAATATATTTTATGTATCATGTTGTTAGTAAATGTCTTATGACTTTGTTAAATATTTGAACAAAATTGTGATTGTCAATTATTTTATGTTAGGTATTTTAAGGTCAATGTATCAATATGTCTACTAACATATCAACATTATCAACTAATGACCATTTATATGTCAGTTTTAATTAATTTGTTGTTGATAAAATATTGATTTTTAAAATATGTATTCAAATTAAGAATATATTTTCATATAAATATAAATTTTCGTTATTTTATAATATGTCGTTTTTTTTTTTTTTTTTTTGTATGTGTACTATACACAATAATTAGTTGATAAAATGCTTCAATTTTCAATTTCGAGGGTGGTTTTAGATAGCAAATTGGATCTAGTTTTTACTGCAAAGAACTCAAAACTAAATTTTTTTTTTAACAGGAAAAATTAAGGAAAAATGGGAATTTTATGAAAATCAACTGTATTTGTACAATTACTTGAAAACAACTAACCGTAAATACTTGAAATGTTTACCAAACATGTAAATTGTCATTTTGTATTTATAAAATGTGCAGTAGATGTCAAGAAAATAATAGGTTATACAAGACTAACTACTACAGTATAGAAGATACCTACTAATTATAGAATACCCATATTATGACTAACTCACTCATTTGTTGAAACTTAAACTCTCAACTTTTTTGTTTTGATATTAACCTCGTTTATCTATTCATCTCAATGGCTCACTGAATATTTCTAAAAATTTTTCTGATACAAAACTACTTGTCCTTTGCAATGAATGCTACATTTTTTAAATAATGTGCTCTAATATTTTCAGTCTTCGTGATAAGATTAATTTTTAAGATACTTGTTTAGTCTTAATATACTTTATTGTTATTTTCCTAGATTAAATTTTACTACTTATATATATACGTATATATCTATTCTATATTTTGTGCTAACTTATAAAATTGTTAGTTGATGATAATAAAAAAAATCTTACAATAAATAATATTTAACTCTAAAATTTGAATTATACGTTTAGTAAACATTTATATAATTATATACATAATATGTAAAAATATTTATGTAAATGTATTGGAATCTCCCTCACAAAAATCTTTTAAACGGTGTTATGTTCAGTTGCATCTAGTTTAAGCTATTGCGTAGTTTCTTGTACCTAACTCGTCGCGTTCCCCCTGAATAAAGAGTTATATTATAAACCTATAATTACAACTAAAATTGGTTTCGGTTAGTTATATTAAATTTACATGGTAATCATGTTTTATATTGTTGAACTTTTTTCCTTTTTGTTACATACCTAATGAAATATATTGTCTACGTCGCAATACCTATTTTGTTATATTCTTATTATATTATGAAATCAAGTAGCAGTATTTTAAAATTTAAAGTAGGTATCTAAACGATTTTTGGATGAATGCATTATAAATGGAGTTTATAATAAGGAATTTAAATAATATTATGTCAATTTTTATGTTTAATAAGTAAAAGTCAATATTTCTTATTTCAATTAAATAATTTATTATGGTTTAATATACATACGTATTACAGTATTAGTCAAAAATATATAATTCAATTACTTAGCTAGTTAGCTAGGTACCATTTATTTTACTGCAACTTATCTTGTCTAGTCCCATAAATCCATTTAAAATCATATGAAACGTTACATACTTATCTTCATCACATTCACATTTTAAATCACGATCGACTAAATCTATATCTTTAGCTACGATTCCGTTTGCATATTGGGCAGCAAATAGACCCTAAAATTTAGCATATAATCTCATTAATTTATATTATATTATTATGCACTATAATATATTACTTTATCATAGAATGTATTTTCATTGTCAGCACACCATGAATATTTATAACTAGAATTTTCACAATAAAATAAACATTTAAAAATAATATATTAATGTTAAGAATTATTATAATTGGAATTTAATACAACTTTTTTTTTTTAATTCCAATGATAACAAAGTATAAGGATTAAACATTTTATAAATTTTTAATTAGGTATCTACAAAACAATTCGATTCGTGATTTTGATGGATTTCCTTAAAATTCTAACTTGAAATACTTAAATAAATATTTTGAAAATGTATTTGATGTATTTTTTAATAAGCATATAACTTATGAAGTATGAACAACTTATAAAGAGCTTGGTATTACATTTTTGCATTTTTGAGGTTTTTGATCAAGTGAAAATTTTTTAACAACAATAATCGGAAAAATTGTTTTAAAAAAAATTGAAAAAGTTTAACGTTTATAGTTTAAATAGAGACAAACATTTATACCATAAAAATTGATGAACTCAAATATAGGTAACGCGTAAATATTTTTGATTATTTTGAAAAGTACTGGGGATTTTTCACTTTTAAAGGGCTTAAAGTACCTACCAACTAGATCCAATTTTCTACCAGAAACCACCTCCAATGTTGAAAATTAAAGTATTTTCATTGCTCTTAAATACGACTATACGAGATAAGCAGAAAAATAATACTACATTTTAAAATACCTAAATACATTTATCGGTCTTCTCAAAATCTAAAATAAGATGAAAATTAAACTATGCTTAATTTCTTATATCTTTAGGTACTCTTTAGAAAGGTATTAACAATAGATCATAATTTCGAGAAAAATCTAGTTTATGTAATTTTAATGTAATTTTTTATGTTTTTTAACTTGACTTAATGCAATTTTATATTTTCTTGTACAAATATACTCAGTTCTATGTTATGAGGAAAATTACTCAGGCATAGATTAAATCATACTGATATCTGATATAAGCTATGCGATTTCCATAATTTATTAATAGATATAGCTCTTGAATATATTAAATTAATAATTCGTTATTATACCTCGTTATAAGATACTTCACAACTCAAAAAATTCATTTCATCTTTTTTATTCACCGAAGGATTTATTAAATATTCTAAATAAATTTTTTCCTTCGGAATGATTGAATTACTTAAAGCAGCTCCAAATTTATCCTAAAAAATAAAATATTTTTAATCTTATTTTTGACTCAAAGATTTTATATAAATCTTACTAAAGTATTAATGTTTGGATTCATTGGATCTGGTGAATCTAAAGGAGTTATTCCACCATTTAGAAAAGTAAAATCACATTCATTAAACTGTTCAAATCCAAATAGATAGAAATCCATAACGTCATTTAGTATTTCAAAATCAAACCCTTTCAAAAAAACATAACATATAATATACGTAATATATTATTATATAAAAGTCAAGTGGACTAATTGGACAATGTGATACATTGCCCTATCTATGCACACTTGGTTTGGTATTTTTGGGTAATACATTAAATTAATATTATGTTCAGACAAGGTAATACATTGTCCGATCAAAGTGTACTATGCCTGTTTTTAATTGGGCTTTGTTTCTTTAATTGTGTATGTTACTGTCATTGTCGGCAATTCCGTCAATAACAGTAATGACTAGGATAACTAGGAGGTATCAGTAATGCCGACGCACACTAGTCATTGTAGGTACCTAATCGATGTATATTTCCGTAATTGACTGATAAGTTTAGTCAATGTCATCTATCTATCTATCATTATCACATTACCTTTTTTATCTGAGAAAATATCGTACATACTTTCAGTCGTGTTCCAATATCGTTGTGAAGTGCGTGACATTATAATTTTTGATTATGAAATTAGCCAATATGCGTGAAAAATGTAATAAATCAATTGTCAAAACAAACGATGTGCTTGTCGAGCAGCTAAAAAATTATGTAATTCGAAGTATCATAGTAGTTTATATTGTGAAAATAAATAAAATTTATCTGTATGATAAAAATTAAAAAGACATAGTTTTTTCGATTTAAATTATATTTTAATAAATAAATGAAATATTACCCACATTGACTATTAATTGTAGACATTTTATATATTGCTAAGCTAGGTACTGTCAGCATTGTCTTACCTAATTAGCCTCTGTTAATATTGACTAGTCATTACTGATAATGGCTGATTTCCGACATCAATGGTAACGTCATATACATTTTTTTTTTTTTATTAAACTCTTTATATTATCTTGTCAACTATTGCCGTAACAATAATAGATTATTTCATAACTAGTGCCATATAGGCACTATACCTACTAATAATACTAATAGTAGGTACACTTATTATTGTTATAGCACATGACATATTTTAAGATAATTATTGAACAATTATTACATTGTTACAATTCACGATTGTACGTAATATTATGTGAGTTATTAGTATTTACCTAATATTTATTTGTAAAAGTTTATGAAAAATTGATCCTTACATTTTGGAAAATAAAATGTGAACCGTATGATGCTATGTTTAGATATAATGCAAAAATTGTATTAAGTTCATCGGTAGGTACTACCAATATAAATTGTTAATAAATTCAGAATTCAAAAAGAGGCTGTACAATTTATGGGTACTAAAAGTCATTTTGAAGTTTATGATAAAAATGCATTAATAAAGAAAAAATTAAGAAGAACATGTGGGTTTTAGAAAAAATAAAATAACTACTCTAAGAACAGAATCAGTTACAAATTTAATAATCCGAGCGAGAAGAAAAAAAAAGCACCAAAAAAATGATTTGAGAAAAAACTTAAAGAAACGTCAAAATTATAATACCTAATATAGATAGAACTTTTAGTGATTTAGGTTGTGTTCTTGGAATTTTACTATCAGGTAAAACTTGAATTTTATTGTAAAATTAAGTTTAATATATACTTTTTTATTAAAAAAAATTTATTTTGTTTATTATTTTATTTTACGTGGAAGTTATAAGATAGGAACCACTAAAGAAAAGTTAGAACAGATTTATATTTTATACTCGTAATCGGTTTACTACATGTTTACGTGTAAAAAAAAATTAGTTGACATAGGGGACGAGCCTATTATAAAAATTGTTTCATTAAGGGTGTTGCACAAGGAAATTTTCCAATTTAGGAGGACAAGGGTATAATGGTTTAATTGCACCAAAAAATATTAAAATAAAAAATGTTATTCTAAATACCATTCCAATAATAATTTTTCCATCAAATAGTTAATTTAAAATAAGTTTTTTTTTTAATCATGATACATTTTTAATAGTGAAACTTAAGAATTTTATTTATTAATAATAACAAATTTATGTTCTTAATTTATTATATTATTTAGATAATTAGTGATCAAATTTATAGAATAGCCCAACTATAAAATAATATTGGAAAAGTAGCGAAATAATCATTGTAGAATGATAGCAAACAATAAATGTAAATTGCTCAAGCTACACAGGGTTATTTTATAAAGTTTGGGCAGTGTACATTTTGGCATTTTGCCTATATTATTCATCAAAATCAGGCAGTACTATATGGCTGGAAAATGTGTACATTGCCCATAAGGTAACTCATAACACACACACACATATGGTTGAATGAATAATATGAATTTTATAATTTAATTTTCAATATCATAATTATATTTTAAGATCTGCAGTGGTACCAAAAACTATTATTCTACTGATTTTAATTCTAATAAAACGATTATTGTTGTTAATTTTATTTTATTTACTTACAATTCGGACTTGCTGAATTACTTGTATTGCTATAAAATATCATACTTTTTGCTTTTAAATACAACCCAATTGACAAATTTGGTACTTCGTTCTTTATAGACATTACATAATTTGATAAGTTCTCATAGAAGTCTTCAGGAACATTATAATCTAAATCCTGCAGATAAAAAAGTAAATATAAGTTAAGTATAAAATTATAATTTTCTATGTAAAAATGTAAATGTACTTTTATCACTGTATGTTTTGACTATTTACATTTAATAATTGTAAGTTAGTATAATGGAAGGTATAATTTTAGTACTAATATATATGTAGGTATTAGGTATAATATTTAATGATTAAGAGGATATCGACACACACGTGTAATTTTTATCTTAATAATGCGCTTACCATATCAAAATATAAATTCAGCAGTTTCAATTTTAAGTGTTTATTTTAAGTATTAGAATTAATCATCTCAAGAAATGATCTAAAATTTTTTATCGGTTTTATTTATTTTAAACTTTGATGGGCAGTAGCCCAATATAATATAAAATTATTTTAATATACATTACTAAGATATAGGTTAAGGTAGTAAACAATTTAAATAAAAATTAAATTTATTAATAGTTACACAATTTGATAAATTGATATTATATTTATTAACTAATTTCATACATCTAATCACAAGAGCGCATTTGAATTTTATTTCGTCGACTGAATTGGTACATAAAAAGTATTAGATTGTCTAATATTATACGACTAGGAATCAGGAAATTAAATTGTTTGAGTTAAGTTGGATAATAAATATTTCCAATAAATGATTTGTAAATGAAGGCTAAATCGTCTTGTTTCCAATGTTTCAAGATATAAAAAAAGTTATTAATGGCTTATAAGATGAGTGAGGTAGTCCCGGTAGTCGCACATTCACAAGATATCTCTTGAAAGATACAACTCGTAAGAATCGATTTTGAATTCAGCAAAAGAGTATTTGAAATTTCAATTCCACTAGTATAAGTTAAATTGTAATACGATATAAATGCTGATAATGAGGATTTTTTACATTTAGTATTTATAAATCTCCAAAATAATTTTGGATAACGGATAGTAAGTGTTGAGTATTAAGAATGAAGTTTTATAATCGATTTATATTATTTCTTACAAAGTGCACATGTATTCGAAAAATGGTTATAGTTAAATTGAGTAAATGACCGTGTGTATATTATATGAGTTATTTAAAAAAAAAGAAAAAGTTAATTGTTTTAAATTGCTACTAAACCATAAGGATATTTTGATGTGTATAAATATTTTATAGGACATTGTAAATTGATAATATGCTAAAATTTGAGAGTCGAGATTATTTACAATTGAATGATTTGTATTTTTAAAGTTATAATCAGTAATCATCTAAGATTAGAAATTCATAATTAGAGCTATTATGTATATGGATATCAATAATAATTGTTTGTGAATTATATAAATTGATATCAGACCTAGGTAAAATATAAATAGAGTCTAGAATTGATGAGTATGACTTAAAATTAATTTTTACAATTATTTTCAATTACATTTTCATGAAGAGTCAATCGTTTACCGGCAACTTAATTCTTTATGGTGATAAGCACACTTCTGCCTTTGATATGAACATAATGAATATTAGGTACAAAAATAATTGTACATCGATCACAACGGAATATTTAATAATTGGGACAAAATCTAAGTTCTGTGTCAATAATATCATCTGATAGCCATGTTACAGTTAAAACAATTATGTTTACTACAGTGTTCTTATAGTATATATAGAAAGATCACTTAATGTGTCGTTATTTGGTAATTTTTGAAATAGTAGGTTAATCGTCTATGTATTTGACGAATACATTATTTTCACCATCGTTTCTGATAAAATGGATGATAAATATTTACGTTGTAGTCAAGTTAGGTCTGAAGTGATACGTAGCGATAAGAAATGTAAAAATTACAGGTTTTAAAGGTATAGGTTATGTCATTCATAAATATTAAAAAAAGTTAAAGTGATGGATGTCTTCCCTAAGATAACATTTTTTAATTTAAAATTTTGAGATTTATCATTTAAATATGATTTAAACCATTTTAATATTGGTCCGAAAATACTGTTATATTCTGGTTTACACTATCGATGTGCAATCAGTTAATTTATATAATTAGTTTTCTAAACTTCCATCTATCATTAACCATGGTGAGCGGTACGGAAGAGGATTTTTTTTTTTGGATTCGTGACTAGTTATGCTCTTAACGCGAGGTGAATATGTAGTATGACATCAATGATTGCAAATAAATAAGATCCTTTAGTTTACGCAAAGATAATCGTTAGTCTAACGTCATACTGTGTACACAGTCCTTGATGAAATCCAGTTGTATATTACATTTAATTTTATAGTTACATAACAATATAAACTCAATCATGAAGTCAAGTTGTATTATTTATCTACGTAAATATCAAAGATAAGGTTAGGTTACGTCTATAAGTTTATTTAAATAAAATAGCTCATTTATGAACGTACGTTTAGTAGGAATATAAAATTATTTATAATAGGTATATAGTAAGTACTTACAAGTTCATAATGATAATGTATTCCTCTCAGAATTAAACCGGTTGCAGGATAATATTTTATAAGTTCTTTCAATTTTTGAGCTTCAATTAAAGTATTTTCAGGATCAACTGCCTTAAACCAAGCGCATATGTTTTTACGACGATAATAAAAAAAATACATTAGGATTGTTTTCTACAAGCATTTTAATGCGTTCTATAAAAAATCATTAATACACTTTAATTGTTGTGAGTTAAATGTGACATTTGTTAATTATACAAAATATATTCATATGTGTATACAGGCACGTATACAAAATACAATTTCGGGGGGGGGGGGTTACAAAATATGTATAATAATACAAATTGTACGGCGACATAATAAAACAATTTCTTTCTCGTTACTCATTATTTTTTAATATGACAATTATTATGCTAAGTATCCAAATTTTATGTATGTCATTTGTTCAGAAGTAAGTTTATAAGAACAATTATAATGATAATAAATAAAAGTTTAAATGTTATGAACAGAACAGACATTTATTTTATTAGTACTTATGCACATAAAATTACCTAAGTATATTATACTATTAAGTACCTAGATAGAAGGAAAAAATCAAACAATTTATATATAATACATTAAAAAATTACAAATTGAAATACAAAATCCCATTTTCGTGATAACTTAGCAAATCTATTGATAATTTGATAATTTCTACCACATTTAAATCAAAATTTCGGTATATGTTTAGTAGTGCCAATCCAGTAAGTTTAATTTCTCTTATTCCTATTGTTTCATAAGTACGTTTTAAGTCTTCGTAGAGTTGAGAATGACCGTTCGCAGTAACAGTTGTAACAGATAATGTTGCTAAAATGTACCTTCATCATCATCATCATCATCATCATATACAGCTTAAGGGACCATTGAGGTCCAACGCTGCCATCACAAACTTATTCCATTCTTCCCTATTGTACGCTATGTCTAACTGAGCCCTTTCTTGAAGTATTCTTAGATCTTTCACAACTGAGTCCTTCCATCTGGTTCTAGGCCTGCCCAGAGGTCTTTTAACTGTCATTTCAGCCATCAGTGTTTGTTTGATACCTCGGCCATCCGCCCTCCATACATGTCCTAACCATTCGAGTCTTTTGCTTCTTATATATGACAGAATATTTGGTCTTCCGTATAACTCTTTTAATTCGTTATTATGTCTCCTTTCAAACTGTTCTACAACTGTACCTTACAGTAATGATTTAATAATACATAAATTAGCAATTTAATAGGAATTTTTGATCATCAATTGAGATATAAGAAAAGATTATTGACAAAATGTGAGTTTTCTAGGTATATAAGGCTTATATCGTAATGTTCAGTTCTCACACATGCGTAATTCTCAGTAATCAGTTATCACTTCATTCGACTATAATACTAGATTATAAACTTGTATTTCATACCCGATTAATATAGACAAAAGAAAACTAATCAATAGCTAGTAATAAAAATATTTTATAATAATAGATGTATAATTTGACTTAATTTTCAAAGAAATTATTTCCGGGGGGGGGGGGGGTTAGAACCCTCCCTGTATACGTGCCTGTGTGTACATTGACACAAGTCCTTGTACTTGAATAATCAAAAAAAAAAAAAAAATTAAAAAAGTTAATTTAATCATTATTATTATTTAGTACATCTAACTATTTCTTATAGACTAATTCTGGTTGTATTTTATTTAGTATTTAACAGAAGGTTAGAAGAGTTGATATCAATTTATTTAAATTTATAATTTTAGGTACCTACGTTTTATAGAAAATATGACATTATTTATCATTATACAGTGGAACCTCAATAACTCGAATCGGTTGGGGGCGAAAAAAAAATTCGAGTTATCGAAAATTCGATTTACAGAGGTTACACATAATATGATATGTTATAAAGTAGGGGTCAAGACATTCTTTCGAGTTATCGAAACTTCGACTTATAGAAGTTCGAGTTATCAAGGTTCCACTGTACATAGCATGATTATTGGAAAGCACATTAGTACAATTAGAAAATGGCAAATTTATGATGCAGTAATAATTTTTATAAATCCCGTTAAATTAAGTTGAGTAAGTAGATGAGTTAATTAGACCATTAAAAATAAGAAAGCCGATAAAATGCAAGTTTTCTTGGAGTCCCGCAAAATGTGATTGGACTCTTACTCAATAATATGATGTATTTGATACTTAAAACTTAACAACAAAACAGTTACCTACTTCCCCCCCTTATTTTTCTTTTATATTTTTTTCCAGTGATAAACATAAATCGATTTCCACTTTGGAAACATTGAATGTAAGATTCAATACGGCTAAAAACTATTATCATTAATGTATATTATCAATATTTTTAGTTTAAACCATAATTATTTAAATCTTAATAATAATAACAAAAACAACATTAAATTGTATTATACTACCTAATAATAAAAATTTAAGAACTTTAAAACTATTTAAAATATAATTTTGAGTATCTACTATATTATAATATAGTAATTACAATATTATATTAACGATTATGAGTATCTATATTCGTAATAATTTTTTTACCTAAATCCCTTGAAAAATAGGTAGGTCTAAATAAAAATTTGTCATCAATTTTTATTCCATCATAAGCTAAAGCTGTGCATTCGGTTGGTAGCTTATTTAGTTTCACATAATCCGCATGACAGCGAACATTGTCAGGATCAACGCTACCTGCATACTTACAAGCTGCTATACCAAGTCCTAAAAATACAAAAAAAAATAAAATAAACAAGTATTATCTTATTATATATTAATCCTATTTTCAAATGAAAATGTGAATTTGAAAATTTTGCTTTAACTTCAACTTATCATTCAAACTAAAAATTTGAAACTATGTCAACCAAACACCTCAACCTTTACTACCAATGTCTATACTATATTATCAAATTAAATACCAAAATGATTTAAAAAAGTCTATGAACGTTATGAACCTGTCTCATAAAAAAAGTTATTGAAAAGTTCATTATGAATTGTAGACCCTCATCAATTACAATTTTAATCAGCAGATAATTAAAAAGTGTAATTAAAATTAATCAAATTTCGTAAATTAAATTAAAAAGTTTTTTTTTATAATTTATAAAAATAGTCTAACATGTGAAAAGAAAGCAAGTAGTACCCAAAAAAATTAGTCTACATTGCTTTTTTAATGATTAAAGAAATGTAGCGAGATGACCAGTGCAGGAGTCCCTCAAGGTGGTATTCTTTCTCCAATATCGTATAATGTATATGCAGCAGACCAACCTACCTCTCCAACAACATTTGTAGCCGAATTTGCAGATAAGGCAATTATATCAGTACATGAAGACCCACACATTGTTTCTCTAAATCTTCAAAACCACCTTGACCTAATGTCTGTCTGGTATAAAAAATGGCGAGTTCAAGTCAACCAATCAAAATCCATTCACACTATGTTCACTCTTCGTCTCATTCCCTGCCCAGAAGTCTTCCTTAATAACATACCAATCCCTTCATCCCATTCAGTTAAGTACTTAGGCTTAAGCTTTGCCCGTCGCCTCATCTGGGGACTTCATATCAGAATAAAAAAACTTGCCCTAAACGAACGACTTCGCTCAATTAAAACACTAATATCTAATAAACATACTAAACTAAACACCAAACTTCTCATATATAAATCATTAATCAAACCCATGTAGACTTATGGCCTACAGTTATGGGGTAATGCAAAAAAAACCAATGTAAACAAAATCCAAATCTTTCAAAATAAAATCTTAAGATCAATAACTAACACGCCTCCATATGTCTCCAACTACACTCTGCACACAGATTTAAATATTAAAACAGTTCACAACGAAGCAATAACATTTTACAAAAGATTCCATAACAGACTTCCATATCATTATAATCCCCTTATATCTAATCTAGCTCTCACACAATTCCAGGCAATCCTACAAGATGACTAAAAAGAAAATGGTGTCGAGATTTACTAAATTAATAAAAAATAAAAAATTATTAATAAACAAATAAGGAGTGCCTTCACTGGATGGCTTCTTCCCTCACGTTTTCATGTCAAAAATATATTAAATCACATATTTTTATTGTGCCCAAGGGTACAGATTGTATATTTCTTATTAAAAATAAAAAATAAAAAATGTGTACCTAAAAAATATTAAAATATAAATAAATAATAATGGTTGCACCACTGTTTACGTGAACTGGCAGCTAAGAATCCGAAATAATAGTTTGGTTTATAAAAATATAATATTTGTGGGTGGATTTTTCATGCAAGTGTTATTAATTAAGCTTTGTAATAAAATGTCAAAAATACAAACGAATATTATAAATTTTAATAAAAAAAACTGTTTGTACTTTTTGAATAATGAACGAAAACCCTTCGTAAAATTGTAAAGCACGTTTTGTGTTGGTTCAGATGTCTTTTTAAGCTAATTAATGAATGTACCTGTTATAAAATTACTATGTAAACAAAATATATTTTATGTATATTTTTTAAATTTAAATTTTCTAGTGACATAAATAATCTCTATAAGCCTCTTATCTTATTTCTGGTAGCATTAGGATCTTTATACTATACTGTACTTGTTAAAAATAAGTGTCGGGACTGACCGGCTGCTGATCGACGCGTGGGGAACTGATGGGTCTGGTCCATTTGGCTGCTATGGTCTGAAATGTTGTCACCAGGGGCCGAACCCCGGGTGCCTGATGTGGTAGTTGGCTTTTCTTCCAGTAGGTTGCTGCTCCGGTTCGGCTTGCTGTGAAACCGGCGTTCAGCGCGCGGCGCACTGAGATACAGGGTCCCGCGGAAGCGTTTCTGCGCTTGCACGGTAAGGAAACAATACGGTTGGCTGCTGGGCGAGCCTAGCGCACGTGAACCGTTACGATTGGTAATGGGCGTGGCTTATCTGCACGTGGCTCGTCTGGTTGGCTAGTGGGCGTGTCTGCATAGTGCGAGCGCACACGACAGGGTTAACTGCGATAACGGAGCGACCTGCTGCGATGTACGTCCGCACTGGTCAACGTACACGACTCGACTTATCTTTAATAATCTAAATAACAATCAATAGTCACATCGCTCGTGCAAATGTTCTTAAAAGTTTTCCACAAAACACACACAATACATGCAGTAGCTCCGAGTCTTTTTAAGTGAATCTAATTATTTACATGCCTACCACAACCTACCATAATGCCATAATGATTGAAGTTTGATTTTCTTAAATTTTCAAATTTCAAACCAATTATTTAACATTTGTAAATAATACTGGTAGCCAGGCGCAAATAGTGTTTAAAGTTTGGAGGGCTGAAGTAAAAAACCATTCCAAAAACCTTAAAACATAACAATATTGACTGACAGACGACAGTCATGAATATTTGGGGGGCTTAGCCTTTATTTGCTGGTAGCCGGTATATATAATAACATTTATGTCAATTCATATTTTGGGTAAAACACAACCAAACAATTTTTCTCACCACACTAAAAATCTATTTATAATCAATACAAATAAAAAGAAGTAGAGCGGTCACTAAACCATAAAATTCATAAATTTAAAATATAAATAAAATTGTTATAAGGCATTGTTATCAAATCTCATCTATGTTATATAAATTATAATATTATCTATTATAAAATTAATTCTATTTACTAAAATTAATTATAATTACATTTTTTCTGAAAAAATGTAGCTCATCAATTTTTTCTTTTCTATTTCCACACCTGACTACAGTATCTTCTCTTTTATGGACATTTTGAACAATATTCATAAAAGAAAGTGTAATCATTTTTCACTCGTCTTTTGATGGCACTAAGCCTCTCCCCTCCACCTATTTCCGTCGAAGTTTATCATGATTATTTTTTACTTTTATTATTAAAAAAAAAAGTCACATAAAAATAAATTCATAAATCATTGTAAAACAATACCTATATTTAATAATTGGTTCAGAATATAAATGATTCATTATTAACAAATAACTGTTTTTACTTCTCAAATAGGAAAGCATTATAAATTGTAGTAATTTGAGTATACTTCACAACATAATTATGTAATCACTACATGTATCAAATTATTATATCTCTATCTATAGATATACATCATAATTTTTTATTGAAGTGTACCTATACCAATTACCAATAAGCATTAAATAATTATATACTGTTTTTTGTAGTCTTGACTTTTTTATATGACATGATTTAACATATTTTATTTATACCAAAAAAATAGATTGTGATTTAACATAAAAAATGACAACCACACTTAATCTAAAAGTTAAATATTTATATAAATTAATTAATTATAAATCATCAATTACAGAATTTATAGAAGAAAACATTTAGTTAAGTGAATATTTAATTTTTTATGGACGCCATGTGTAAGCAATTATATAACAAATTCATATAATGATACCTACCATTCACTAAATAAAATATTAGCACATTGTTCACCCAATAATATAAGTTAAAAAAACTGATATTCTATAAAATGTATAATAATAATATAATAGGTATTACTATTACAGAACACATGTATATATTTACATTTATTATTTTTGAATGCATCAATACATTATACATAAGTTAATACTTTTGACAAAAAATGTATTAGCTATTAAATTAACTAATCATAATTATTCTTATTTTCTATCGGAATTAGTATGAGCTTATAGCAAAAATTAAAAATATAGATTTATATGATAAATTTTATATTTTATTAAAATGTAATTGTTAAATATTATCTATACTAGCCAGAAAATAATAAAATATAAATAATATAAATGGCTGATATTCATCAGTCATCACCACAGTGGTTTAAAATTACATTTATAATAATTTATTAATATTTATCTAATATTTAATCTTGTATATACCATCAGTATAACAATTCAATTATTACAATAAAAAAAAATTATAATTTAATTTCTTAACACATTACCAACGAAAACAAAATAAAATATAATAATATTGCACATATATGACGCAGTACATCCTACAATTTTAATTTAAAATACATAACAAATTTAAATGATTCAGTTTTTAATTAGAATTGTTTATGTTAGCATAGACCAACTGGTATTTAAAATTAGAACTATAATTAATATATTCTCAATATTTTTTGTCAAAATTATCACAGAAAACAATAACTTTAAATGTTATAAAAAAAAATACTGATTTGAAAAATTCTTAAGCCCATTTTTCATTTAGATAAGTCATAGGTAATAAAAATATATTTACTTTAGTTCTAAATAGTAAAATATAATTTGATATATCTTATTTAATATTATGCCTAATACAAATTTCTTCTGCATTGACCCTGCATTCGTGATAGTGTCCTTAAAAAATAAAAATATAATACATTAATTATTATAATAATATAATATTTATCTAACAATAATGAATACAATATATATTACACATGCACACATTAATGAATATGTATAAGTGTATAAGTGTATAAACTATGTTATATATATATAATTATACAATTATGCTCATTTTCTCAAGGCCACGTGACGCACTTAATATGACACTGTAACTACCTTGCCTACAAAATATATGCTGCCACTGTATATTTTTAATAGTATTTATAACCATGAAAGCTTTTAATGATTTTTCAAATTTTGATTGTCAATCTATATCTACCAGTGTTTCTAAATCATTATTACAATTATTTCAATACTGATAAGAAGTTAATCTCATACTTTTCAAAACCTTAAATCGTAAATACAAAATTATGCAGTACAAGGTCCATGAAAGATTGTAATTATTGGACTATGCTTATACTACTACAATAACAAGCCTATAGTATAAACGATGAAGAAATTATTAAATTTTTTTAAATTTTATCGTCAAATGTTAAAATACAAATTAAAAAATTAAATCTAATATAGAAAGTATATCAAAATTCATTATATTGAAGATTTATTTTACATGCTATCAATGATATTCATAAATTAAAATATATAAGTGATTAAATCTATTATTACATAAATCCTAGGTAAATTTTCTGGTGCATCTAATTGCATCTCAAAACTAATAGTAATATAAAGGAATTCATACATTTTGTTAGTAACACTTGTTACTGAATAATAATAAAGCATGTCTTACAATCATAATTTACATTACCAGTAATTGTAGTGAAGTTTATACCAACAAGAAATCTTTGAATGATTTTAAGGACTTAAGCTGTTTGCGTAGTGCTGATATAAGATCAGTTGGTTGCACTAATAATGATATGTCTAATCCAACTGCATTCAGACGATCTCTAACTTCAGTTTCTTTAAACAATAAGTTTAATGGGCGAGAATTTATTTCTGTTAGTGTCCAAGAAGTAAATGACAATCCATCTAAAGTAGGAGTGCGAGATGATAAGCCATGAGCAGCAGCTAAACTATTTGGCAGTATATCTTTAATTTCAGCTGTACCCCCTTCTTGGATGATTCCAAGGTCTTGGCCTTGCTCTTGTCGACGTACTACAAATACTCGTCCACAAGGAACACGTCTAATAATTAATTCAACCTGAAATTAAACATACAAGGCAACTTTAGATGCATAATCATATAAAATAGTAACTAATATTAAACATTTAGTTAAAAATCGGTAATCTGATCAGTCATTAAGCTATTAATAGCAATTACTAATTTATTGACATTCCCAAAATGGCAAAATATAATTATCCAAAAATAACAAATGTATCTACAATTTTGTAATCAAGGACATTTTAAACCCTTATCATATTTACTGTATCATGTCTACTAATCAATTTTTTTTTTAAATAAAAGTTGAGAACACTAATTAAAAAGCAATGATTGATTTCTTCAGCCAAAAATAATTTAATTTATTAAATAAAAATACATCTTTTTAAACACCTATTTTTTTATCTAATATACAATGTATTTCTTTTTGTAAATTTTTATTAGAATTACCAAATAAAAGTGGTGAAACAAAATGTAATTAACATTTGAATTCCCTTTAAAAAAACTTCTAATCCAGTAATCCAAATAACACTAGATTTAAATTCATCCAGACTATTACAATTCTATGATACTTATATAGAAAAATAATACTAACATAGAGGCTCGGCCATGCTCGTATTAATTTATGAGCATCTGTTGAACATGTTACAGGTTTTCCAGCAACACTCAACAATTGATCACCTAAATGTAAAGCATTATGCAACATGGGATGTTCTTTCTGTTTCCATCCAGCAATCCAAACAGTTTGAAATACATCAACCAAAGCAATAGTATTAATACAATCTTTACGCCTCAATTGTAACCGCACACCAGCAAGATGGGACATTTCTTTTCGTAGTTGAAGGACTTGTTTTTCACGAACAGTTAACCGACTTGGACTGAATAAATCTCTGTTTTCTGTCTACATTTGTTACACAAAATGTTTAAGTAAACATGTAATGATACCATATTGTTGGATCCACTAAAAACCTTACAGGTGTAAATGGTGTTGGAACTGGCTGTAACATACTGTGTGTACTACTATTTACTGCTACACGAATTCTATCAGCTCCTAATGCAGGATGTGAACTATCGCTGTTAACTTTTCGACGAGCACCACGACCTCGGCCAATTGGTAGCTACAAAAGAAAAAAATATTTCAATATCATTATGGTGAAATGTCAAAAGCAATTTAACTTTACTTGAGATCTTATTGGTAATATCGCAATATCTGCAGGTACTGGATTAGACGAAGCAGATGGTAGTCTAGATTGCATAGTTGTAGGTAATATTAAATGTTCATAATTACTAGTTACTTCTTGATCTGTTATTGGAGGTATATTATCTTGTCTCTTTGGTCTTCTTCTATGCCGACTATCTTCTGAGTCAGCAATTCTGACTTTAATTCGTTGACCTTCATTTGACACTTCACTAGTAGATCTTTGTGGCATGTCATCAATATTGGTTGCTCTATCACTTAATTCTGAATGACTACTAGATCTAGGACCACTAACAGATTCTTCTAAAATAGACGCATTCCAAGCTTGATGGTGTCTATTAGGTAGCCTTGGAGAAGCAACATTTTCAGTTGTAGAACTAGTTGATCTACTGGACCTAGGAGAATTTATTAATGGTTCAGATGATGTTTGAGATGATTGCTCATTTGTTTGGTTTAAAACTTGTTCCATTTGACTAAAATTGAATACTTGATTATGATTAATTACTTCTACAATGGTAACATTATTCACTGGCTCACTGGGACTTCTACAACAAATAAATGTATAATTTATAAATTGATAAATAAAAAAAAAAAAAAATAAGTATTATTTTTTGTCACAATATTTAATATTTACTCACAATGGATTAGGACTAATAGGAGGAGTTGAAAAAGTTTGTTCAATTTCTGAAGAAAGGCCTTCATCTATACCTAACAACCAAATAACAATATTAATTTAAATAACAATTTCTGTCAACTATTTCAAGGCTAGCCACACCTATTGATTGAACTACAGAGACAACAGGTTCAACACCCGGTAAAACATTTGTTGGCAAGTCCCGTAACGGTGGAGGAGGCAATGGAGAGTTTGGGTCTCTAGTTGGTAATAGAGGGGGTCTAGACTCTGGTGGCTTGGTATAGACATTTTCTTTTGGGGACAATATATGCATTTCACGCAATTTCATGTCCAAACCTTGGACCCAATCCATCATCTGATTCCTAATAAAAATAAAAAATATTATTATACAAATAGTGAATAAAAACTAAGTACATACTAACCATGAAGGAGCAGCTAAACGCACAACATCTGAGGTGAGGGTTACAACAAATTCATACTGATACTGTTGTTGATGATCACCTGTCATCACTGGTAAAGGACATATAGTAGCAGAAACATGGACGGTATCTGATAAAGGTACAGTATTATCTGGACGATGTGCAGCTGCTTTCTTTTGATCTACATAAAACTCTAAAACTGGTTCTGTATCGTCGTGTATACAAAACACAGTCCATAGTTTCTGTCCACCAGTCAGTTTCAGAGCAGACTTCTTGTCAACACCAGCCGGTAGTTTTCTCAACCACGAGTTTTTGTGAATTTCTCTGAACTGCACTCCACTCATTATTAATTTAGTAACAGCAGCGAAGAAGTGTTGAATACACAAATGACTAACATGGGAAACATAGCAAATAAATATTATATATCGTCATAAATGCTCAGGAAAGAGAGGAATGTCATATAATTAACCATAAACATGGTAAAGCAACTAATTAAGACATTAACTCTTGGGTAAAAACGATTATTGTATTTAGTTACAGTTAAAGTAGAACATATGTTTTCTCAAGTGAATAAGAAAGTACTTACAATCATAACGTTGATTTCACTAATATGTTTGCAATTGAACTTGCTGTGATACTATGTTTTAAATAACGAAGACTACGATAGCGTTCGCCATCAACTTAAAACGTCGCGACATCTGAGATCTGACGCGCAGTACGATTGAATCCATGAAAATCATTTGAATTCAATCATTATACATATTTTGTCAAAGGCGAATTGGAAAACGTCTTAACAGTTAACACTTTTAATTAACTTGTTTTGTTGATGAGTTATCGTTTGATTGATTGACAAATGTGTATCCTAAACTTATCTAAATGGCTACACTGATAATATATTTTTGATAAATGTTTAATAAGACCACATAAGACAAAAAGATAATAGTAAGATAACTAAGATACTAAGATATCCTAATTCGCAGTCACAACACAAATACACAATATTGTTACATTCAAATGTCAGTAATAAACATAACAATTAATATTTAATCATATTTATTTTTTTAGACTTGTTTTTACCTAGTAATTCTGTATCTAATAATAAAATCCACCTTTTCAAATGCTATAAACAATTACGTGAACGTGACTATAAGCATAATATTGTTCTATGATAATACTTTAATTGTTAGTTAACCAGTGTAAAAGTAAACTGTAGAATTTACATTTTAAAATTCAGCCATGAGTCAAGCTATCCAAGCTAAACAAGCGGATCGCTTGAAGAAACTTAGAGACCTCCACATCAAAAGAGTAAGTATTATTATTTTTAATTATTTAATAATATTGAAGTACCTCCTGTGGGAGACCTCTCTCACTCTCTCTGTCTTTTTTCAATGTCATTATTTATTATTTTTATCACTTAAGCTTATTGTTCTAATTGAAATAAATGGCATAATATAGAACTTTTAAGAAAAGAAAAACATATTAATATTTAAAAATTGATAATTAAGTCATTGGCACAAATTTCGCATTTAAAGCACATTAAAATTTAATGCCTGCATTCCAAATTTAGAGATTATATTAAATAATAATTAAAAGTTTTAAACACGTAGGTACTGTTGTGGATCAAAATTGGCTTTTAAAAAAATTTTAATTGTATTTTAACAATATGATGTACATCAAAAGAAATAGTTCTCAATAATGAAACTATTTCAAAATAAATAAATTGAAAACAAGTATAGGCACATTGTACTTAAATGTCTAGCTTAATATTTACTTATTAATAAATAAAAATAATTTATTTTGCATAAAATCTTATTATTAATTTGGTTTTATTGTAATTTAAAGGAAATTATATAATAAATGAAGTGTGTGAAGGCAAAACTTCTCACTGATCCTTTAAAATTGGTTTAATACTCAAGCTTCTAATGTTTTCGTGTGATTTGTGTCTTACAACTAAGGTTTATTATCAATATACCTACAAATTTAGTATAGTTTCGTCATCATGTGTTCATTCTAATCTTTGAATAGTGGATTCTAATGTCAGCTTTTTTTCTATTAACATAATAAAACAATCCTAAAAAATAAATCATGCATGCATACAAGTATCTGTATAATACAATATATTTTATTATATTAATTTTACTCAAGATTTACTCAAGATTTTACAGATTTTACATTGTCAATATTTTAACTAATTTATTTAATATTATAAATCAATTGAATATAGTAGATATGTATTTCTTGTCTCTTACTCAGAATGAAGCTAGAGTGAACAACCATCAAGAAGTTGTTGAAGAAGACAAACAAATGAAATTGCCATCAAACTGGGAAGCAAGGCAAAGGAAAGCTGAATGGCTTTTAAATGACGATAAACTAAGGCAAGAGGCTAAAGAAAAAGTATGAAATTAAATTTTATTGAATAGTTTGATTGTATTCTAAATATTTTATGTTAATAATGATTTAAGGGACAAGATTATAACCGTTTAAAACTTTTAAACATGACTGCAATGGAAGCTGATGCTATTGACAGAAAGAAAAAACGCCAAAACCCTGATCCAGGTTTTTCAGATTACGAAGAAGCTACTGCTCGTCAATACAACAGGATGATATCCAACATGAAAGTAGACATGGGTGCCTATCAAAGGCAAAAAGATAAACTGGGCAAAGCATTCTATGCAGAGGCCAACACATATTTACACGATAAAATAAAAGATTCAAAAGAAGGAATTGATAATATGGTCGATGACTTAGAAAAACAGTATGCTTTTGATTATTAATTGTTGTAGACTTAAAAATAATTAAAACTTTATGTAAAAAATATAAACTTAATTTTTTTAGAATTGCAAAACGTAACAAGTTTAGTAGGAGAAGAACGCATAATGACGAAGCAGACATTGATTACATCAATGAAAGGAACATGAAATTCAATGCTAAATTGGAACGGTACTATGGAGAACATACTACACAAATCAAACAAAACTTGGAAAGAGGAACTGCTATTTAAATTCAAAACAACTACATAATTTTATATATATATATTAAACATAAGTGTTTTTATTTTATATATTTAATTTAAAATGTAAATAACTAATTCAACAAATTATTGCATCAACCCACGTTCTAAGTCTTTGTGTACAAAAAATAAATAAATATAATAATGCATTGGTCAAAGTTGAATATAATGTTTCTTCTAAATGCCCACTGTTCTTAGTGAAAAAAAATATAAATGTGTAATATTAAGAGTATATTATGTAAAACAATATTTGTAATAAAATACTTTCAACTTATATGATATTTTAAATAAAACAAGTCTTTATTTTCAAGAAATAAAAAATATTGCTGTTTGATACATTGAACTTAACAATTTTATACAAACAAATATTTTATTGATTTTAATTAACGTAATTTGGTAAATCTTATACTTATAAAAACTGTAACTTTATCATTCAATTACATAACATTATTAAAATTTCAATTTGTATAAAAAGTATTTAATCATCAGTATACAAAATTATTTTTAACATATACAGAGTGTATCTAGAGGATTGATAATTTTTAATAACAGTATAAATGAGCAATTATCAAATCCTCTATGAATACCTATATATTTCAGATTAGGTACTTGTAATGTAAAATAAAATGCAAAATAAAAAAAATAACCCTATACTTTTAAATATCACATTAAAGGCATTAGGTGACATTTTATTTCGTCCAATCAACTGAAGACACTGATGATTTAGTTCAACAAACATCCAAAATCAATACTTCAGTACAAACTTGTAGTTTTTCCTATTAACAAATATTTTACATATAAGCGTTAGATTAAAACATGAATAATATTATTATAGCAACTTAAAATTGCTTAAAAAACTTAAGAATGTTGCACATAATTAAATCAGAATGTAATATTGTACCAACTAACTTTGATGATTTAATCGATGTGTAACTCTTACATGAATATTTCCAGGATATGGCTGTGGTTTTCCTACAAAATAAATTTACATTTTATTAGATAACAAATTAACAATTATAAATTTTAGTCAATATAAATTAACATTCATTAAAAGTACACAACATGACATAAAATAATTAGATAAAAACAATAATATTTTTCATATTATTTTTACTGTCCCTTTAAACATTAAAGAATATAAACAAGAAAGTATGTTGAAAAAATGTATCTTGAATAACTAATTTTAACAAAAGGAAAAAATAAAAATTTATATGTGAATAAATTTATATTTATAATTTCTAAATAATAATAAATAGTTCATAATTGTTTATAAAAAAATTAAGCAAGTTGTTACTGTATTGCAGTAAATCAAATCAAACTTAAAATACTGATAACTTATAAAATGACTAGTTATATTCTTTAGCACAAATAGAATAGGAGGGGAAATAATAAAAAAATAATAATATTTGACTATTTTAAAGTCAATATTAACATTAGTTAAAACATTATTAACTTATATAGTATGTATATTGAGAAAAATAAGAGCCTATTATATTCCCAGTTATCTGTAAGCTCTTCACTTTTTATGCGCCCCTCAAAAAGATTTGCCTAGTTGCATCTATGGTTCTCTTAGTTGTTTTTATATACCATACAAATTAAGCGTTTATCTATAGTTAAAAAAAGTTAGTTATGTTAAAATTCTCACCATCACACACTGCAAAAAGTTTCAAACTCATGTTAAGCATTGTCTTGTTAGATTTGCAGTTAATTTGGTACATATGGGAATATTGTTGTTCACCACTGATGTGGTAGTACCTAGATCGAAGCGAGCCATATCACATTGTTCACATCTTGGCAATATTGGATGATTTTGGAATGTGCACATAGGACAAACCCAGTTTTGGTTTTCTGAATGTTCTACAAAAATATATATATTTTAATGATAAAACCATTAATATTTAAATTAATAAATAATTGCAGGTAATTTATTAAATAATTTAAGTTAAATTGTTCTAACCTTGATATTCTTTGTGCATTTTCCCAAAAGAAATTTTTTGTCCAGTATAAATTTTATTATAAAATTGTTTATTTGTTGTGTCCAATGGAACTATAAAAATAAAATAATTATTTAAATTATCAAACACATATTTTTTAATAAAAAGTAAAAGTTAAATAGCCTAAAAAATTTATAAATCAATAATTACATAATTTAATTTACCTTGATTTTCTGATGCTGTATCAACTTGAACAGCTAATTTGTTACATTCTATTCGTAATAATTCAACATCATTCCTTAAACGTTCAATCTATAGATGAATAAAAAAAAGAATAAATCAATAAGAACAAGACTCAAGTATATATATTATACATACCTTTCTGGAATATGAACGTCTTTTAGAAATATCTTCTTCCATCAATGCCACATTTTTTTTCATGATTTCTAGTCTTTGTTTTTCAGCTAATAATTCTGAAGCCAACTTTTGTTTTCGTTCTAATTGAGCATTAATTACCACTAAAAAAATGTCATTTATTTAAATCTCCATGTACATAATTGCTAACTTTTAAAATTAATAATTGAATGTAATATTCAGAAAAATTAAAATCCAATAAAAATGTACATGTATTAAATAATCACTTTTAGTTTTAGGTAAAATATTATCAATTTGAACTGGTCCAGGAAGTTGAATTTCAGTCATCCGATTAATAGATTTGATATTTGTTGGGGATACCATAACACGAGAAGTAGTCACAGTTGTTTCACCTTCGGGGTCTATACTTATATGAAGTCTTGATTGATAACAATTTTTAGGGTCAGTAGTTGGATCAAATGAACAAGCTGTATATGTGAGTTCAGAACCTCCACCGGCTGATAAATCTAAAGGAGGTAAAGGATCTTTAGTAGGCGTTCTTAAGGTAAGGCTTACAGAAGTGAATGGTCGACACTGTGTATCAACAAATGGCACAGAATCTAATGAAAGACAAGATTTGTGTCTATTTTCTCCTTGATGTTGTTGTGAAGGAGTTGATGGTGCCGAAACAGATGAACATTGACATCTATTTATATTAAAATCTATATCTAAAATTTGTGTATTATCTATATCACTTCTATTTGAATTTATTGAATCTTTAGTTCCATCTAACTGTTGTGGTCTATTTAAAAATTGTAATTTAGGCAAGGAAAGATTATTTTGTGACATTTCAAGAGACTTGGGCCTGTTAGCCATTTTATCTACAATGTCAGATGGATAAGTTTGTTGAACATAATTTTTCTGAACACTTTTTAGATTTGATACACAAGCTTCTCGGTTAGTTGAATGCTAAAATAAAGAAATACAATAATTATTAGTTTTCAATAAACATAAAAATGTTATTACCATTGATCAATGTTTTCACCTTAAGTATACAATCAGAAACTACTTGATCTGGAACTGTTGGAAATTGCTGTTTGAGCTCATGAAACATTTGCATCACCGAGATCCTAGAATGTTTCCTGTGTTCAGACATTATGGATTACTCTTCAACAACATTTCGATTACTTTTTTTTCTGAAAATAAAAAAATGTTATCTACAAAAATATTCATAATTGGTTATTATTTTGTGGTTGTTTTATTTTCTTTTTAGTACTAGTTGTAGTTATGTCAATTATATTAATATTCATATCATAACATTAAATATATATTTTATAGATATATTAATAACATATAAGTGATTATAACTACATCATAAAATAATAATATTAACTACTTCTTTATATGATTCCAATATTTTTATGTATGATAAAACAAAAATGGAAAAATATTAATGAACAAGTGCCAAAAATTAAAAAGAACACCTAACGGCAAATAAAATCAACAGGTTGTTTTATAAAAATAGTATTTTTCATTTGTGATAAATGATAAAATTAGGTTTTTGTAATTATAGAGTTCATAAGTAGGAACTGTTATATTTTTGACCTGCCATTTACAGATTTACACCTAAAAATAACTCTGTTCATGAATAGTTTATTTTAAATGGTGACGGTTGTCTTTTTGGATAATAATCTTCAAAACATTAACACCTACAAGTATTTTTTATTTATGTTAGACTCATGATGATGTCATTTAAGTTTGAATGAATAATTTGTAATAGTAAAATAATAATATATAGTTGGCTATTAAAATGACTGAATATTTGTGTATTTGGGGTATACTATAAATGACTAGATAATTATTCTTAAATTGTTAACAAGGCACCCCTGAACTAAAATATATTTACTGCATTATTATACTAAAAAGATAGAAAAAATATATTTCATATTATTAAATTCACCTTATATTTGTTTATTATTAAAAATATTAAGAGAATAATTAAGTTATGTATAACTATTGTATATGATACTTTAAAAATACTAATTACCTAATTTGTAAACATTAAATCTTTTAAAATAAATAATAAAAAAGTACTTAATATAACAATAAAATATATTTATTTATTTAACTTAAAAATAATATATTTTATTATTTTGGCAGAAAATACACTTAGAGCTTATTCCAAGAATGAGATTAAAACTAAATGAAGGTCGTTATGGAAAATAGTTAACATTGTATAATGTATTACTCGACACTGACAGCATACTCTAAAATAACACTTTTATAAATAAAAACTTATTTCTATCCTACAAAAGAAAAGTTAGTTATTAATCTTGGAATATTACCTATTTAACAATAATTGTTAATTCGAAATAGTTTAAGTTTTATAATATATAAATAAAATAAGTAGATTATGCCATACCAAAATGTGATAAAATAATTTACAATACATGTAACTCAATAAACTTATTAAAATACATCATCACTTGCACTTAAATGACATTTAAACATAATAGACATGTATACATAATGACACAAATGTAAATTTAACTAAAATATACAAATCTATACATTAATCAGTATGTATGTTGCGTCATCAGACTGGTCAAGATAACATAAAAGTACATAAAAATATAAAAAACAATATCAAACAGGTTTGAAATTGTTGATATTAAAAGTAAAATATGTTTTATTCATAGTTTCATGGAATAAAATAATTAAATGTTTTCAAATAATTATAATGCAGAAACAATATTTCCAAATTTTTTTCTAATTATTTTACTTATAAGTTATACTTTTTGTATTTTAATAAACTAGATAATTAAGTAAATATAGTATTGTTAATAATAGTTTATCAAATAAGTACTTTGTTTATAGCTGTAAAACTTCATAGCATAATATAATATGTAACCATGCCAACTTATTTGTAGTCACAGTCTCCAAGCAATCACTCAACAGAACCATAAATCTCAACCAAATTAAATTACATAGGTAAAAGTAATGATTTATACTATAAGTATGCAAGTAACTTAAAATATTCTAATTTAAATGAATAGGTATGTTTTAATATAATATACATATATGTGTGTGTGTGTGTTCGGTAAATGATTTAAACATGGTTATTGTTGTAAATTTAGACAATATCCAGTAATTGATGTCAATTACCAGTTAAGTTCTATGGAGGACATTCAAGAAAGTCTGGTGATAAGTTTATTTGAACAAAAGCTTTGTTTATTAAAAATATCATGATGAAAGTAGATAGACAAATGAAAACCCAAATAATAATATTAAATTGTTTATCAGCTTATTAGTTAGTATATTCATTTATATTGTGGCGAGTTGTGTGTACAATGATTGTGTTATTTATAATCATTTCTACTTTATAAGTAGTGTTATTCTTAAACTGTTTAAGAAAGATTTTAATTAAATTGAAATGTAGTGGTTTTATTTAATTAATAGTATTAGAGTATGGAGTATCAAGAAAAATTTAAAGTTACAATCGAAAAAATTACATATAATAAAAAGAGAGGTGACAGAAATTTTATTTTAGTTCTGAAGAATATGAATATAACAATAAAATTCAAAAAGTAAAGGAGTTTAAAAATAGAACACAAAAAATTAGTAATCAATAATAGGCTTCTATATAAACATTATGCTATGACAATAAGTGGAAAAGAAAAATTAATTAAATCTATAATTGAAGATGACTCTGAGGTTTTATATTACATCACAGTAGACGAGTTATTTGAAATTATTCACACAACATCTTTGACCATAGGGCATTGAGGTAAAAATAAGATGATAACTGTGTTGAAAACAAAATATTGTAATATGACAACAAAGACAGTTATGGCATATTTAGACTTATGCTGCAATAGTCAAATAAAACAATCAAATTCTAAAAGAGGACTATCATCATTGACTAGTAGTCTTGGTAAATTACGTCAATTACCGGTAAAAGATATACATTTAAGTTTAAAACGTGTTTTTTTATAACATTTGCCTACATGATTGAATCATTTACCAATTTTCATCATCCACCGTAACATATATACCTAAATTTAAAACCACTAATCATCAGAAACCTCATCTGAAACATTATAATAAAATACCAAACATTAAAATTTATTATTCTAAAAATCTACATCAAATTATTTTACACTACAAAGAAGCAAATTATAATATTAAACAATCATATTTAATTAATTTTCATTCATTAAATCTTAATGATTTGTATTATAAAGATTTTGTAAAAACTTCAAAAGTAATTTCCAGTCAGTAAAATATTAATTTATACTTATTATATATTAAAGGTTGAAAAGGCGGTGGTGTAAGGACCTATTAGTCTAGTCCAATCTAATACCTTGGTCTTCCTTCCATATCTACCTTTGTTATTCCAACTATCTTTCCTTATATATATCTCCTAACATTGTTGCTTAACACTTTTAATTCTAATTTTAATTTTTTTTTCTCTCTTTGTTTAATCTTTAACTGTAAAAGTGCCTACACTGGAAGGTATCTTTAATCCGTCCTTCATGTCAATTATCTAATTCAACAATTTCGCTTATTGTTCAAAAATTTATGTAACAGATTGTGAAAATAAAAATTAAGTAATAAAAAATAATAAAAATATTATATATTATATATAGAATGATTCACCAAGGTTAAGTCATTCTCTATACAACTATGTTAAGTCATAACAGAAATTGTCTACTAAAGTATATTAAAAATATACTTATAGTTATAAATGTATAAACTTAACAACTTTTTATTTGCTATCTTAGTTTGTATTACATTGATAATACAACCAAAGTCAATTTCCAGGGTGTATAATATATAAATAAAGCATTTGTATATATACAAATATGTCATGTATTTTTTATAAAAGTTACTGTTGAGTACCAAAAGACTAAATGTGTAAAAGTTGAACTGTGTTGCATCTCAACTATTTAATTAGTTTTTTCTGATAATAGGTACCTACCTATAAAATTATTTAATTTTAATTTATCATGTATAAAATAAAAATGTATTGAAGTATAATGTAGTGTAAAACATCACATTAAGAAATTGTTATTTGTTTAAATTATTTTAATACGAGACAAAAATAACAATAAACAGTGTGAAGTGAGTTTGTGTTAAAATTATTATTTAAAGAAAACTTGACAAGATTATTAACTAGCAAAAAGTTATAAAAATAATACATAGTTAATATATTATTTTTACAATTATTAGTTAGGTTTATGTAATAAGTTAATAAATATGTATAATTTTTTTATATTAGTTATATATTACTACATACCTACTATTTTAATAATTATATAAATGAAAATTTCCAAAATTTAGTAAGATAATGTTCATTATCTGTAGAGAAACTACTTTTAATAAATTTACCATGAATACTTATTTTACTTTTATTCATTAATTTAAATTTTGAACTATCAAAATCTAAATTTAAACAAGTAATTTCTGAATCGTATAAATTAATTAATTAATAATAATATTTAATAAACTAAATATGTAAAAACACAGCCTATATGTATAATTTAATTGAAAGTAGAAAATATTTACTAGGTAACTATAATATATACACAATTAATAAAATTTGTTGTAATATAAGTACAAAATTGAAGATATAGTCATTTTAATGAACAGAACATCCAATAACAACACTTCTTCAAAAAGTTAAAACATTTTAAAAGTTTATTAAATTAAATAATTATATATACAATGAGAGAAAGCATACATGATTAATCCCTTTATCCACATTAAATTATAGATAAAAGAAAAATATGAAGGTATAAGTTAAAACTAAGTATTTTGATTTCAATAATAAATTTATAAAACTATTAAAAATAAATACAAATAATAATTATGTAATAAATATCATGATATATTTTTCTTTCTTTAATATATCTATATGTCAACGGTGGATACTTATAATACCTAATAAGTAAATAATAACAACTATCAAGCCAATAAATAACATTTTGCATTACCGCCCAAGTACTTATTAATATAACTAATATGTAAGGACAAAGCAAAATTGTTCTAAAACTATAAAATATTAGTGATAGATCAATAATTTATTAGATAAAAAAAACTGACAAAAACAATGTAGTAGTAGATACCTACTACTTAATGATTAATTACAACTACAAAACTATAGAAACAATTTAGTATGTGCATAATTAATCAACTATACATCATCATATTACAATTATTAAATAAAAATCTAATATCAAAAATTGGCTTAAAACACAATTGGTCTTTTCTTTTTTTTTTTTTAAATTAAATTTCTTACCTGATTAAATATTAGTTGTTGTTTGTTATCTGAAGTAACAAACGTACATGTCATATACAAAATTGTACTAACGTACTAACTGTAAGTGGTCACGTGTAAAACAGGAAATATAATTTTAAGTACACCAAAAATATATAATTATTAATTTAAAAATCCGAAAATTGTGAAATTCTTAAAACTACCATTCACCAACAAGTTCTTCTCGTCGGATTGTTTTCAATGTTTTCATTTTCTCAGCGGCCTTGAACTAACCATAACAGATGGAAATCAGTGTGGGTATTCACGTACAATATTTTATGGAATCCCAATCCCTTTATCTCTCACTGACAAATCAACAGACATAACGTCGTTTTACAGTGAGTTAATTGAGGAAGCGTTCAGATTCAGAATACTATTATTAATTATTATTAATATTAAATATTAATAATTATTATATTAAAATTATCGAAAATAAAATACGGTGTATAGTAATTGTGGTATAATACTATCACAGAATTCCTTGGTACTATAATGTATTGAGCCCACAGATATATAAAACAACTGATAGCCGACTTCTTATACAACACTGCAGAAGGGCATGAATAACGCCGCCATATGCAAAGCTGGCAATGTTTACATAAATTGTAATGATAACGTTTATTGATAACATTTTAACGTAATTTGAATTTTGAAATATTAAAATAATGAATTTGGTTTTTGTATAAATATAGTAAATTTGAAATTATTATTATTATTTTTTAACCACTAACTATGTGATGTTAACTGATTTCTGGATATTACAACTGATCCCGTGCCCTAGTCGGAATTATAACTTTAATCTGCCTTAGTCTAAACAAAATACAAAAATTTGCATAAAAAAGTGAGTTGTTTTTTAAAAATTCAATACATATCAGTAGCTGACATCAATTGTTTTAAATACTTAAAACATTGACTTTCAAATGTAATTAATATTATAAATATCCCAGTAAATAACATTCCATGTGTGACATTGGGTATAATTGCATAAACATAAACGATAATGCAGTTTAACAAAACATTTTTAATTTTTTTCTAATACTTGAGATAAGAAAAGTAACAAAAATTAAATACTCTATTATATTTCTCCAGCATATTATACCAGTACTAAATTCTATAAAACATCTTAAACCACTAAAACTTTCTTATTTTTATTGTTTCCACGAAAAATTTTATCACAATATATGACAACCTTTCTCGGTTTCTCGTCAACGAAAGTGTACCTAGCCAGAAAAATGTATTCTGATTAATATTAATATTATCTAAACATTCTAAACTATATAGGTAGGTACATATAAAATAGCTTAAATTAAATTGAGTTCATAATTGGCAATAGTGTCTTCTCTTACAACGTCACATTTTGTGTCTAAAAATTGTTAACTTACCTACACTATTAATTCATTTTATAGTACCTAAATATTCTATTTTCTAGCTTTCAACTAAATAAAAGGAAATATAAAGATTAAAGAAGCTACTTACTTATGTCAACATATCAACAACAAATATTAATATGAGATTTGGCTCAGCTAACTCCTCTTACAGTCACCAGTCAAAGTTGTGGTTTGTCACATTTTATTGATTATTCATTTATTAACATAAAAAAAAAAAAATCTTACATTAATATTATATTATCACATATGTATAATGTATATACATTGTACATATATCAATTAGCACTGACCCTTTTCAACTTCCACCAATCTTCAAAACAATTGTTTCTTAAATAGAGGACACTCAGACACTGATACATAAAATTATGTATAGTCGACTAAAGTAAATCAATTCATACGACTTTTCACACTTAAACAAGCACAATAATCAGCTATAACTATCTATGATAACCATTATCCAAATTTTTTCATCTCCTACTGTTAAATATCTTGGACTAACGTTCAACTGCTTTTTATACTGCATATAGGTATACCATATTAAAACTAAAATACTGCAACTAAACAACCGAGTACCGGTTATGTTAAAACTCTTCTCAATAATAATGAATTCATAACTTATGTTTTCATGTACATTGTACAAATTATTACCAAAACCTATATGGACCTATGGCCTCTAATTTTGAGATACTTAATGCTAAAATCTCTAATTTGAAAAATATAGGTATTTCAAAATATCATCAAAAGAAAAATAAATAATTATCTACTATATATAGGCACCTTATGTACCTATTTAACCACTTTTATTTACATCGATTTGCAACAAAAAACTGTTTAAGAAGATGTAAATTTCTTCTAAACTTAAAGTGATTTAATGATATTTTTGTAGTTTACATTAGGGGTCGACAACCTTTTTGGTGTCAAGGGTCAAAAAATAAAAATAAATTTTTTCACGAACCTAAAATCAAATACACTTTATTCTATCTAAACTAAAGTTTATAGTTATATCAAGTTTAATTTATTTAAGTTCATCGCTGTTAGTTATATTCATTTAATGTGGTTTATATTATCAACAATTTTTAATAATAATAAAAAAAAATACAAAGTAAAAGTTAATCCGATTTTTAAGTTTAAATAGCATCAACCAGTTTACTGATCGTAGATTTGATTATTGATGTGGAGATGTGGACATTTTCAGTATAATATTAAAGTGGCCATCGGATAATCGCGAATTATGTTTACTTTTTCGATATTTCATTAGTGAAAAAATTTGCCCTTAAATATACCTATTTCCAAACACGGATAACATTTGTTTGCAAAATTATGTTTCACAGAAACTCGAATAAAACTAAACTAAGTTGTGGCCATCATGAAAAGCAGTTTTAACTAGTTTTAAGACTTTTGTCACTTAGCTAGGTACTCAAAAATTTCCATTTGTAAACAATAATGTGGTGTACAATATTTTTATACTAATAATTATTATAAATTGTTATCGCGGACTGCGGGTTGCCAACCTCTGGCTTACACTAATTTCTTGAGAATTGAGATAATATTATAATATATATTGCTAAAGGTGTGCGGGTTGCTATATTTGTAAGTTCACCCTTCATTTTTCATTAATCAGCTGTAGTTACCAACAGTTGTAGATAGTATTATCTATTATCTTAGCAGTTACCATGACAAAACAATTTTGTATTCTCATCTATGATGCTGTATAATATCTTGTTTAATAGATATTCTTAATTATTATTTATTAGAGTAAAGAACTGGCCACGGATTTAAACTAAAAAGTTAAAAGTAATTTTTATATTAGAATTTTAAATCTTGTCAAATTTTGGATACAAAATTCTTGGAATTACTGTAACACCATGGCTGAATACGGTTATAACTTTTGGATGTTAACATTTGATTTTTTTAAAAAAGATATTAAAAAGCCTGAAGACAATTTGATAATATTAGTACATTGGTTGTTGTTGAAAAACGATTTTCAAGTACTTGGACTTGGTAGTGAGGTAATAATATAGTTAAATAAACTTAATATTTTACAAAAAAAAAAAAAATTACTTAGTCTTTTAATTCATTTGTAGTGATGTGACAAATCTTGATTAGCATTAAAAATTATATAATGAAGGAGTTTTTGTGTTTAACAAAAAGAATTATTTTTAAGATATATTTTAGCTTTTTTGATTTGTTTTGAAACCAATAGAACTTTACACCTAATGAAACTATCCAACGATGTAAAATTGTGACCAAGTTGAACTGGAATGTACTTAGCAAATAAATTAATTGATTAAGATGCTATCATAGAGATTATATAATTATGTGTTTGTGTTTATGGATAAAATCTAATTAGACTGAAATATATTTTAACCCCATATTCATTTTTATTATGTTTTACCTTAACTGATGTCCGTCTGTGAACATTATTAAAATGTATTTTAATATAACTATTTTTATTTCACTGATTAAATTTTGACTATTCTATTGAATTTTGAATTTTTATCTTCAACATGTTTTCAGTACTTAATGTACTTAATTATGATAATTTTTATGCTTAATATATCTTACCATATAAAAAAACTAAATACATAGTTTTTCTTTTTATTGTTAGTTTTCAATATTATTTATTAATGTATTTATATTTTCAGACTACAATTGATGAAAATGTGCAACCATCTGATATTTTACCTACAAATTGGTCTCAAAATGAGACATACAAGTTACAGTATATGCGTGACAAGGAATTGTTTTTATTGAATGCTGTCAAGGCTGCTGATAGTCTTGTGTTGAATTTATATGTACCTACATTTTTAAATATCTATTTATAATTAATAAGAAATGTTGGTACTTGTTTGTTATTACTGCATCATCTCTCCATATAAAATGTATTATCCTGTCACTTGATGGCTGTCTATTGTAATATAATTTTTATATAGCATTACAAAATTTTTAAATAAAGGTAAATAACAATAAATTATTTTTAATTAAAAGTAGCATAGTTAACAATTAATATTTCATAATAAAATGTAAGAAAATAAATCGTTTTTCTAAAGATCCTTAAATGTCATAGATTTTATTTGTTTTAATAATAATTTTTATATTAAATATTGTGAAAAATAACTCATTAATATTCATTTTTAACCATATTTTAAAAAGTTTTTACCCATTTTTCAAAAATAGATTACATTTTTAATTAATCTACTCATAATATATAGAAATACAGAAAAATATCTATCATATATTTCAAAACTTTAGTTATTAGACTAAAAGGATTGCTAACATAAAGTAATCTAATGACAGACAACACATTTTGTACGGATTGGTCTTAAGTAGATAACAAACAAATATCAAAATGTCAAACATATCATATGACTTCTATAATTTTATTTTGCTTAGAATGTAAAAACAAAATTTGTGTCATGCAGTGCTATTGGAAATATTAATTCTGCAGTTCAGTGGATCACTGACTTGATAAATAATAAAGAAAAAGTCTTTGAAACTATTAATTTGATAGAAAACCAACTAATTGGTCCTATGAAAAAAGAAAATGAGAATAAGATAGATATCAGCACTCAGACCAATAATGAACCAAAGAAGTCTCCTCTCTTGTATGTGTTCTTTCATATTTTGTATGGTATATTAAAAGTCAAGACTGACATTTATTTTTTTAAGAATATCAGATCCTCCACGACCTCTTGGAAGATTCCCTGAACCTGGCAATCCAATGCATCCGTTTCCATCATATGGCATATCAGATTTGAATCCTGTAGGTGGTTTACGTGATTTTGGTGAAGGGATGCTCTTTAATCCTATCGTGGGGCGAAGATCAGATGCTCGTCGAGGGTATGGTTTCATAATATTTTGTATTTTTTTATGTTAGTCTATTTCTTAATAATGTTAAATATTTAGGGTTCCTCCAATGGCACGTTTTGATCCGATGCACCCTAGCAATCCAGATCCAATGAGGCCTGACTTCTTAAATAGACCTAATCCAGATCACATGGTATCACCAGATTTTGATTCTGATTATAACATGTTTATGTAAAATAATTGTAATAAACATTATTCGAATTACCTATAAATATTATTTTAATTCAAAATAATAAATGCTAAAATCAGAAGGTGTTAATTATATATTGAATTGATTAAAGAGAATTGTATAACTTGTATACATAAATAGATCATTTATTTTATTGTAAAAATTATTCATAGTTTTAAATACTGTCATCAATTTTATTAGTATTGTTATATTTATTTCAATTTTAAAGCTAATAACTATTCCATAAACATTAACCAAAAGTAGAAGTCTTTATTAAGTTTAAAATAAAAAGGTTTATAAAGATATACAAAAATGTGAAATTAAACAAACAATACAATTTTACATTGGTAAATTTATTAAAACTATTTTTTTCAAACAAATACCAATTTATTCCATTAAATATTAAAAATGAAATATATTTAACTTAATTAGGAAAATAATCTTCCTTTATTTTATGTTTAATATATTTAAATTTCTCACTTTTACTATAAATATAAATATTTTAACAAGTTTTGTCTTGTGATGGGAATTGTTTCTTTTGTGGAACTATTGTTTCCAAATGGTACTTTTAAAATTAATATCCCAAAAAATTTGTTTCATTGGTAAAATAAGTACTCTTTCTTGTTTAATGATAATTGTTAGTTATTACCAAGGTGAATATACATAGATCCATCTTGATTGTCATAAAAGTACCGAATCACAAGTGTCATATTCGTGCACTTGTTAGAGTTTTAGAGTGTACATTCTATGTTAATTTTATAAATAGTACCTATATGAACTCATCACTTGAAGTTAAGTAAGCATCAACCACATGTGTAATAAACCTATTAGGCGGTTAATGTCTTGCACTAATGATGATCCCTATTTCCTTATGTTTGTTTATTGCAACATTCTTTTAAAAATGTCACGAAAATAACCAAACTTTAAATTAAAAATTAAATTGTATGAATATTTAAAATAATTATGATATCTCCAATAAATTCCAGTATTGGGAATATTTTAGGAAATTTCCTTAAACTATATTTCTGGGAATTTTCACATCACTAAATAGGGGACTATTTAATAATTTGTAACTTTATACCAATAAAACAAATGTAAACAAAATTATTCGTTTCATCAAACAAATACTACAGTAAACCACTAATTTTATTGTTTGTATTTTTTTTTTCTAAGTTAGTTAGACTTTTAAAAATACTAAATTCAAAATTTAATATTTATAACTCTAATATAAAGTATATAATATATTCATACATACATATATATATATATATATATAAATACATTCTACTTATAAAATAATAAAATTTGAAATTTGAATAAATAAATTCAATGATATATTTATGAATTTTATATTTATACTGGGGTGTGGAAGCCAAGGACTTATAACTTGTAAGAAATAATTTATGTTCTTAAAAAGCATAATAATTGTTATGAATGTTTTGATATTTGATCATAGTTATTTTTCACAAGTTTTCAACATTTAGTTTTAGGTTAAATACATGAATAAAATTTAATTATGATTTTAATTTAAATATACTTACTTGTAATAATTTTAATAGTAAACCATTCGTTTAAAGATAAACCATATAATATTATTATACTTTTGCTATTAAAATGCTTAAAAATAAAAAATAATTTTGAAACTATTTGATATATAATAAATAACACATCTTTTAATTTTTATGTCATGATTTACCTAATTTGTAATATACTTTTTCTTTTTTATTGTCAACATGTATATTAATAAATTTAAAAAAGTATTTCAATCCATCTATCATCAATATATCACTAAAATATATTACTTTAATCACAGAATGGTGTATCAACTATCTTTTTGTAATATTTTCGAAGGAAAACTATATTTTAAAATATTAATCAAAAATTAATTAGTAAATACAAATGAAAATAACTTTTCATTACAACTCAAATTTGTCTTGATTGAAAGTAAATTCAAAATTACCAGTAAAGTTATTTTAATTTGATAATATATATTAAATAAAATTAAAAATAATATAAACAAATACAAAATGTATATAACATGAAATGTTGAACATATAAAGTAAATAATAATAATAAATTAAAAATTATTTCAATGTAATTGTTGGTTTACATCACAATCTGGTTTATTACCTGAAAAAAAAAATTAATCACATTATAACTAAATAATTCAAGACATACAATTTTCTTAAGACAATTTATATTTGTGTAAAATGCAAAATAAAACTTAATAATTTCTAATCAAAGTAAAATTAATATTTATCTGTTGATGTCTATTGAATGTTGATTACATAACCAAATAATGGAATACAGTCATATGTCATATCACATATGTATATAAATATATTAAATACTTACTGTTTTCAGTTTCTTCACTTTTATTTATAAGTGTATAAGGTTGAGAAATTGGAACAGTTGTAATGACTGCAATCAGTTCATCATTTTGATCATCCCTTTGTAAGACAAATGTTTAAATTTAAATTTAATATTTATTTTTATATGAAAATATTTAAATATATATTTATTTACTCGACATGTTGAGTATGATTGACAAAATTTTGTACATTCATTACTGTGTTTTGATTGACATTTTGATAAAGTATAGGACTAGACAAAATGGGTGATTGAGAATTCAAAACTTCATGTGTTACTTCCAAAGAAGTTGGCGATACAAGAGGCATTATGACACCAGGTACAACTGGTACAAAAGAATGAGTAACTTCTGATAAATTTGATGAGGTATCTGTTAATTGAGAAACTAAACAAATATTTCAAAAAATTTTAGTTTATCATTCTTTATTAAAATAGCTGTTATTTGTTACCATGATCCTCTGTCTTAATTTGTCTGCTATTGTGATGTTGAAGTAAATCATTAGACATTTGGGGTAAAAATGTATTCACTTTAGTCCAAGTAGCATCCCAAAAAGCTTGCTTACTATGCAACTCTTCTTTACTATTTGCCTTTCCATTTAACATTACTAATAACATATTTTTCAAGGTTTCTGGAATTGCTTCACTCTGATCATAGTCAATTATAAAAAAATCAAAGTTAAAGATTAAAAATAATTTAATAAAAATTACAAAATTTTAAGAGTATTAGTAATTAATTAATTTTATACCAGAGTGTCACTATTGTCAGATATCATAAACTTGTGCATCAATTCGAGAACAGTGATCCATAATTCAACAAATGTTGGTAGTGATTGAAGCTGAGTCAAATGATGTAAGAAAACCTATGATAATATTTATAATAGATTAATGTTCAGAAAAATTGTTAATTTTATTGGTAAAAAAAAAAAATAATTTAAATCGATTTAATTCTACATTCAATTCTTGATAACTAAAATATTAATTTGACATTTAAAAAAAAAAAAAATATCTCCTAAGTTATTATAACACTTATTTCATGTAAACCTAAAATTTGAAAAATTAAAATGTACTCAATTTTATTTAATTCTAAATTATTAAGAATCTATTGTATAAAATATAATAATAATAACCTTTGATAACAAAGTGGCAGATCGCATTTTTGTTTCATCCAAACCATTTGGATCAATGTCGGTTCCACACTCTAACAGCTTGTTCATTAATGGAAATAAAACTTTACGGAAACATGCTTCCCATTCATCACCATTAAGCGTTGCTAAGTCGTGCATTAGGAGGGCACGTTGTAGGTATGTTACAGCACTCATTCTTACCTACATACAAAAAAATAATATAAAATATATTTTTACACACTAAAATTAGGAATTTGATTCACTCACATCACGTCGACAATCACAACACAGACTGGCAATACCTTGGAGTAAAGGACACCACCCATAACTCCACAAAGATATTAGTGCTGTGTCTGGATTTTCTTCTGCCCACCAACGATATATATCTGCAGTACTTGTGTGCAATGTGTGCATAAGATCAAGAAGCTAAAACCATTTAATGATGTGTGATTTATTACAATATATGATAAATAGATAATGGAGAAATTACCTGAATAGAAACTTGAGTGTAACTACTTGGAATGTCTTCGGGGTCACTGTCGTCTGCATCATATGGGTTAGACATTTTGTTTTTGTTTGATTTCAAATTGGTTTTTGCTTTGTTGCCTAATTTTTGACGTACATTTTTATCTTCTAAAATAAATTAACTTAAACATACATTTCTTTTAAAAAAAAGCATTAATAATTCATCATACTTGATTGTAAGCTGGCCCGCGCAAAATTTTTTATGACTGAGACACATTTGATAAAGTTGTATGGTGTAATATGTGCAATGTTACGCACTAAAAACGCCAGACATTCACAGCATTTGACAAAAGATAATGCATCATGACGTTTAAATGTTGAACAATCTGGCCAAATTTCTAATGCCCCTGAGCTTGTTTCAATCTATATTTATTAAAACATTTGCTACTTAAATGAATTAATTATTGAATATAGCATAAAATGTATTTACCTTTAACCACTCTGATTTACTATCTGAAGGTGAAGATGAAGGAGTTGAGACATTATTAATTGATTTTACGTCTAAGCCACTATCATCATTACTATCACTTACACTTGTCACTTCATTATCAGACCGATTATCTATTTAACATTAAAACTTTATCAGTAAATGGTTTTAATTTTAAGATTCTATGCAAAGCGAAAGATACATTTTTGACTAGATGAAACATACCTATATTATTGGTTTTAGATGCAACAATTCCAGCACCAACATACTCTAAAATTGAAAAGATTAATGTCCAATCATCTCTGGTATGAATATTTGCAGCACACATTTTTAATAATTCATACATTCCAAATGCTATTTGACGGCCAACTATTTGTAAAGCATCTGTGTTGAGCAATAGTAAAACATTTAATGACTGCAATACCTAAGTGATATAATGTACAAAATAGTAAATAAAATATAAAAATTAAAAATATAATAAATATAAAATTATTTTACCATTGAACTTATTTCTTCACGTCTCATGAGACGAGATGCTAATCTCATTAGCCCAACTACAGTGCGTTCCAAAAGAAACATGTGATTATGTTCTATAGCACCTGTCATAAGGTTGTACAGGTGTTGTTTAACTGCTTCCCATAGAGTATTTACTCTATCCCTATGGTTACATTAAGTTTAGTATAGAAAATAATGATACATTTAGTAAGACTCACCGATTTTGTAAAACTATTTTTAGAAGCATTTCTAA